GAAATAACTCATTCCCTTCCTATGCACAACAATGAAAAGTGGCTTAATTTTGATCCACTTACTTCGTCAATATGAGATTGAAGCGTCGCTATATAATTTCGTTTGCCCTCAATCTGAGCAGAAAGTTCACTTGACTGTTTCTGAAGGGATATCAACTCTTCCAGTTTATCCACAGAGCTTTTCTTTATATCGTCTAAGTAGGAGTCAAGTGAAGGCTTTAATGTTGATTTGTAGTCAATCCCCATAATCTCAGCTGGTGTCGATCCCTTAGCATTCAATCCATACTGAAATCCATTACCAAGTTTCAACCTGCTACCACCAAAGATAAGGAGAAATTGCATACAAAAGATTACTAAGTTTTGTCGAAACTTGTGGCACTGTCGACTGTCATAAGCCAGCAAACAATTAAAACAAATAAAAACAAGTAGGCAAATGACTTCAAACAAATCACTAGCCATAATGGCTCGATGCCAAATTGGATCGTCACTATCAAAGTCAATGATATGCATCCCAAAACAATTAGACACAAAAATTACATTTCTTTAGCAAGGAACAAGAAAAAATCAAATGAAAAGGAAGACAAACCTCCTCATAGCCTGGTTGCAGTCCATGGCCACAGCCTCCAGGTCCTTAAACTTATGGCTAAGCATGGTATCAAGCTCCCAAGACTTCTCCTCCCACGCATTCCTCTCGAGCTCGGCTCCCCAATATCCCTTTCCACAGCCTGCAATTCTCTCTTCATTCTATCCACATCCCTGGCATTGAAGGTCTGCAATTCCACCCTATTTTTCAACTCCGCATTCTCTTGGCAAATGCGCTTATTATCCACCACTTTGGCCTCCAATTCCTTCTCTCTGCCCTCCATCACCGCCTCCAAATTCGCGATACTCTTCTCCAGATTCCCTATGATTTCGTTGAACTTGACCACATCCCCCTCCAATAAACCCCTCTCCTTCTCCAGCGCCTCCCTCCTGGAGGGCTCCGACCGCATTGTCTCCACCCTCCCCTGCAGCTCCGTGGCGGTTGCCTCCAATACCCTAACATTCTCCTCCGCATTCTCTTTCTCCCTATCCAACTTGTCCAAGAAATCTCGGTCCAAGGCCTCCACAGCGTCGTCGTCCCCGTGTATATAATGCAAATAACTCTCCAGGGCGTACTCAGATATGGCATTGTTCTCGACGAAGGCCCGGGAATCGGCGGCGAGATGGTCAGTGTAGAGCACAATCTGGAAGACCCAGTGGATGACGGCGAGCAGAGTGGGCCACTGGTGGGCGTTGACGGTGGGGTTTCGGAGCATGGCCTTGTTGGGCTTGAAGGGGCATTTCAGGAATTTGAGGAGGAGGGGGAGGTCGTCCTCCAGCTTGGGGGAAGGGTAGTCGAGGCGGGCGAGGAGGAACTTTAGGGTTTCAGTGATTTCCCTGGCGGAGGGGATCGGGAATTTGAGGGAGAATTGGAGGGAGTGGGAGGACAGGTAGGAATTGATGGCGGAGACGGTGGACTGCTGGAAGGAGCGGTCTTTGTACAGGTCGAGGGCGGTGGTGGTGGGACCCATGCCCACAGAGGAAGGGCGGCTGCTTGCAAAGCTGGCATCGGAGTCCCGTTGGTGGCGGAAGTGGTCCAGCGGCGTCGCCGGTGGTGGGCGTGGGTTGAACGACTCCCTGACTCGCCCACGGCTTGTGCCTCTCATCTTTCTTTCCTTCTTTATTTTTGCGTTTCAATTTTCAGACTGTTTTTCCCGCTCCTGCAAGTAGCAGTGGCAGCGATCTGAGCTGTGCGAAGGACACTATTCAATGATCCCCACTTTCCGGACCATGCGATCTGAGCCGTCCACTCCACACTTACACTTGGGTGAACAACCTTGGAGATATCCTTGCTCCTTGTATGGCGTCAAGGGTACGACTCACTTCAGTTTTATTTATTCATATTGGATGATATTATTGTTTTTGTTTTTTGAGATTTCAAGGGTGTTATTGCTCGCCTCTTAGTTTTAGCAAATCTACTCCTAAAAATGCGTTGCCACTAGCCTATTTAATCTACTGATCTCAATGAACTGTAATTGATCAAATGCATTTTTATTTCTAAATATTGCAGTAGCACAAAATCTAGTTAATTCGTATTAAAATATTATTAATTTTTTTATAAAATAATTAAAAAAATAATTTTAATTTCGGATAGAATTTTTAACCAATCTTATCACGCCACGTGTCATTATCCGAAAGTATTATTTTGTGGATAGATTTCCGATAAAGTGTTGAAAATGTTCAAAATATTGAAATGTGGTGTAAGGGGGAAGATGATGGTTAGGTATTTATAGAAAAAAATAAATAATTTTTTGTTTTAATTTTTTTTGTATTTTTAAACAATTTTTAATATGTTTTTTTATTAAGTTATTTAATCTGAACCGTTGGATTTGCAAAATATTGAAATCCAACAGTCCAAATTTGGACACGTGGCCAACGATCATAATTCTGACCATTTTCTTTTTCTCTTTTTTTTACATTTTTTGGCCGAAAATCGTGGACCGTTGATCTAGGAATCGAACGGCTCAAAACGCGCCACGTCACTAGCTATTGGGTTTGAATTTCAAAATTTTTTTACCGTTGGAAATCCAATGGGCAAAGATGCGCCACGTGGTTTCTCCCAGCTCTAGATTATTGCACTCGCACCAGCAAGCCCCGCCGCCTATTTTTTGTCAAGAACGTGTGCCCACGCTCACGTGTTTCCCATGCACATGATGCCAAAAAAAAAAAAAAAAAAAGGAGTGGGCCTCGCTAACACTAGCATGACGTCACACAGGCCGGGACATTACTCAGCACGTTTTGGTTCGCCCTACAAGTTGGCTTGGGCTAGGTGCCAGCCTATTTAGCTTAGCTAAAGTGGATTTTGATGGTGCCAACCTATCTCCATGGGCTGGACCGCTCTTATGTTTAGGTGAGCAAACCTTTGAAATTAAAAAAAAATGAGAATTTCTCTCACAATTTATATTTCAGAAGTATTTATCAAGAGTGACCTTTGGTGATTCTTAAATCATAACTTTCTTTTGTGTCAATTTGTGTTTTTTCTATTTGCCCAAAGGATGCGATTTTGGACTACTCAACGAAATCTAACGAAAAATAGGTTTCAGACCACTCAACAGAAACGAACAAGGTATGATTCCTGACCACTCAACGAAATCGAGGAGTAGAAGGGGTTCTAGACCACTTAACGGAATCCAAACAGGGTACGATTCCGGATCACTCAACAAAATCGCGGAGTGAAAGAGATTCGGGCCCACTCAATGAAATTCAAAATAATATAAATGGATTCCAGGCTACTCAATGGCATACAATACAGAACAAGGAACCATACCTCTCAACGAAACCCTAACAAAAGCCAGCTTCAAACCACTCAAGAAAAACCTTCAAAATCCAAGGAACATAATTTACAACGGCTCAACGAAATATGACAATGGATTAACGTCCTCTACTAGCCATCACTTTTGTCAAACATTTCAAATATGCATTTCAAACCACATTTTACAAACATTTTGAATATGCAAGTCAAATCAATTTTTTATGAAATTTCAATGATGCATTTCAAATCACATTTCACTTCAAGCGCTTTTAAAATTTAAAAATATTATTTTTGAAAAAGATTTGCAGTTATTTCAAAAACGCTTCTAGACGAATCTTATAATACTATAAATTTAACTACTATAGTTATATGCATATTGTTTTATAAGAGATATTTTTCAGTATAACCGGCACATGAGATGGTGTACTACGTGTCATTATAAAAATAGTGGGATTTGTATGTTAAAAAATTAATAACTTAAAAAATAAAATTTCTCATCATTTATATAAAAATACGTGGTTTACTATCCGTACTTTCATCGAAGGACAAATTGTCTCATTGGGCTGATAACCACGTGAAATTGACAAACTGTGAATCTTAGAACGTGGACACGTATTTACAGTACAGCACGACGGCACGTGACAACGTGACTGACTGCGTTAAACCAGTGAAACTGAGCGTGCTCGACAGCCGCCCAAGCAGCGCGTGGATTCAAAATCAAATCAGCTGCCCCCACGTCTCCGATCACATATCAGAGGAGAGAGAGAGAGAGAGAGGAGAATACAATACAGTTTTCACAGAGAGTAGCGTAGAAATGACTCGAAATCGACGAAAAGCTTGGAGCTTCCTCTCTCCTCGTTTCTCTCTCTAAAAATGAAAGAAACTTCGCCACAAACAAAGCTTTTTTGATTTCATTTCGCTCCCTCCCCCCCCCCCCCGGCCGTCCCTCATTCGCTTAGCTCTGAGCCTCTGCCTCGATTCTTCCGCCTCCTCTGAAACCCTAATTTCCCTTCTTCTCCCCCAAATCCAAATTCCAAATTGCTCCGACTCTGACCGCTTTTGAAGTTTCAACAATTGCAGTAGTAGTGCATATACCTATATCTGGTGCGATTGCGATACTTTTTCAATTTATCTTATCAGATGTTTTTCTCTTCTTCCTTCATTTCTCGAGCTTGAGAGTCTGTTTGGTTGCCGAGAAATGAAAGGAAAATCAATTAGTTATGTAGTTTTTCTCTCTCTTCTGTTTTCATTTTCTTTTACTTTTCCAATTTAAAATTGGAAATTTGAATTTTGAATTTTGAAAGCTGGGTTATCCTTTGCTTGCAAAATTGAGCAACCAAAAGTCCACAATTTTCATTTTTAACCAAAATTTGAGATTTTTCACTTTCACTTTTATGATTTTATCTTTGGCTTTTTACAAAAGATTCTAATTTTAACTAAATTTGAATATTAATTAATATATTTGTGGATCTCTCTCATATGGATAAAGGGTGAGGTTCCATGTGCTTGGTTCAGGCTTTTGGTTGTAATTTGATTAATATATTAACTCCCATAAACACGTTGTCTGTATAAATCTCTGACTTGTTTCTGTTTCTCTTGTGATTGTATCTCAGACGCCATTAACTTCTCTCGGATCCAGAATTGCTCTGACCGCCTCTCAGGTGAGGCTTTCTGGTTTTCAGTTTCAATTACCAGAGATTATATCTTTAGCTGGAATGAAATGTATGTGTTTCTGGGCATAATTGGCTTGATTGCGTGGAGTCAAGATTCAAGCAGTTTCTGGCTTTGCCCAACATTTTAATCTCTACTAATCACGTAGTTTTCGGTGATTTCTATTTACTTCAGTAGTTCAATCATTCAAGATTCGTACTAGTGTATATGCAATTGTGTGTCTTTTTTTCTTGAAGAATCAATTGAGCACTGGCTGTTTTGACCCCTTCAATATCAATGATCTGAGAGTTGATCTCGAGGTACTTTGTTCTTTATTCATTGGGTTTGATAGTTGATCTAAAAATTCAAGGCTTTAAGTCATAGTTTAGAATTCAATTGTGACAATTCATTTTGCAACTGTATTTAGGAAAGCCCAATTTAAATTATTTCGTCCCATTGCTTTTAGTTCTGTAGTCCTTTGAATATAGACCACAAGCAGGGATCTAGAAACGACTGGTGTTCAGAAGAATATAGGATGATTTTAGACCTTGCTTGCAATGGCTTTTAAGATTAGCAAATTTTATGGGCTTCTGAAATTTTCTTTGTTTTTTTAAGCATTAACTGTGAATCTGTCTGCTATATGGATTTCTAGTCTTGCTAGATTGCAGAATTCTGCATTAAGTTGAGCAGCGTAGTAGTGTATAACTTTTTGAGTCAGGAGGCTACCGTCCTTAACCAGAAGATTTTGAAATTTGTCAAGCAAGGATGCATATGTTTTATTTCATGATTGGAACAACTGTTCTGGATGGTCTAGATGGCCCTAAATCATTGCTGTCACATCTCTTGAACTATATGAAGGCACATGTCCCCTGAATGTAGTCAGGTAAGACAGAAGAGGGCACTTATTTCTCTTTCTTTTTTGTTTTTTGTCCTATTTGAACGTATTAGGCATAGTCAGCGTTTTTTTTTTTTTTTTACCCTCTTCCCTTGTGAATGGATATGCCTGTGCTTCACCTTGCAAATCGATACGCATCCGTATTTGGAATTGCAATCTTGGAGGAAATTGCATGTATGCATTTCTGGTTTAAAGAGTGATGTCTTAAGATTCTCCCACTTGGTGTTGGATGTGTTGCGTGCTATGAGGACAGGGGATTCTCTTTCCTTTTTTCTATTTAAAAATTAATAATTTTACAGGACAATTTTTTTCTTTCCTTTTTTCCCCTTTTCTACAACCATGGATAAGAGTTTAAGTTGCAAAGTTTGTCATCACTCCTTTTTGTGTGTGTGCTTTTTAACCGCTTGTGAGGAGTTTTTATGAGATGACCTAATCTGAAAAATTGGTGATTGAAGGGCGCACTATGGCTTCTTTTCAAGTTCAAGGTTCTGATATATTGTTATTCTTTGAGACTTTGACAATTGAAGCACAGGATTGGCATCTGCAGTAATAGGGTGAACTTTAAAGTTCCATGTGCGTATATCTGGACTATCATGGTTCTGGTATAAATTTTGCAATATGATTTGCAGGTAAATCATAGAAATGGCAAAAGGTAGCCGGGGACGACGCAGAATTGCTTCCCGACTATACAGAGCAACTCCATACCCATTGCAGAACAATCAAGATCTATTGGAGGATCTATGCCCGAGGAAATGCAGAGACTTGGAAAAAAAAGACTGGGAGGATGCAACATGTTCTGTGTGCATGGAGTATCCTCACAATGCTGTCCTTCTCCTTTGTTCTTCTCATGACAAAGGTTGCCGTCCCTACATGTGTGGAACTAGTTTTCGGCATTCCAACTGTCTTGGCCAGTACAAGAAAGCTTATACTAAAATGGGGTCGGCTGATCATGGACAACCATTGCTTGGCTCCAACAACAATCCAACTGTGGTACCAGATGCTGGATGGCCAGTACACAAGTGTGAAGTCACAGAGCTTGCATGCCCCCTCTGTAGGGGCCAGGTGAAGGGCTGGACTGTTCTTGAACCAGCACGAGATTATCTAAATACAAAAAGGAGAAGCTGCATGCAAGAAAATTGCTCATTTGTCGGAAATTACAAGGAGCTTAGGAGGCATGTGAAGGAAGAACACCCCTCCGCGCGGCCACGAGAAGTGGATCCAGACCTCGAACAGAAATGGAGAAGTCTTGAGCATGAGCGTGAGACGAACGATCTGATGAGCACAATCCAGTCTACCATGCCAGGGGCAATGGTTTTTGGAGATTATGTAATAGAAAGAAATAATTATGGTTTGGATACAGACGAAGAAGATGGTGGCTTTGATGCAGATGCTCCCGAAAGAAATGGGGGATTCGGGCTGGGATTCGATGGCAATCTGGTGAACGTCTTTTTCCTATTACATGCATTTGGGCCACCAGGCACTGACCTGACAAGACGTCTACGGCAGCCAGAGAGGGCCTTCCACCACTCAGCGGATGGCAGTGCTGCTGGCATTAGGCACACAACTCCAATTGGAGGTTTAGATTCCTCTGATCAAGATGAAGAGAATGGAAGTGATGGTGACGACGATGGTGGTGGTATGTCGTTGGTGAGCCGCCTTCGGCGTCATGGGAGGGTGTTGTTGGGACGTTCTGGGAGGAGAGGTGCGCGTAGAGAAGGAAATAGTGATGAAAGATAAGTAGGAACACTTGTTTAGACACACAAATTTTAGGAGTGATTGCACAAAAACGAATAAAAGGAAGTTAGTATTTTAACTTTCTCGCATTTGCATTGGATTTATTTCTCATTTGAAAGGCTTGGGGCCTTTTCCCTCTGTTGTGTAATATATTTTCAACATGTAATTTTACCTTATTCCTTCCTCAATGTATGAATGTAATTTTACCCTTGACCTTTTACCTTCCTCAATGTATGAATTAACTTTTTTATGCTTTCATTTCCACTCTAATCATTCTGATTACGCTTCTTGTTTGCAATTTGATTTACTTAATCATTTAAAAAAGGGTTAGCATCAGGGGGAACTTCATTATTACATTTTGTAGACATCGTAATGTATTTTAATGATCCAACCGTCTTTATTTTTTGATTTTTCCCAAAGATCATGTCTACCAACACTCTTGTAAAATTTGACTTATCTGGATGAGGAGGACGATTTCAAGGGCCGACAAAAAATTGGTGTGCTGATGTCCCGATCTCAAATTCGACTTACATGAATGAAGAGAACGATTTAATATTAGTTTGAAAGCTAATTTAGACCTATTGTGTGACTTATAAGGCGAAATTATCTCCAGGGCCGACAAACTCGGACAAGTTTAAGTTTGATACTTGAGAGAGGATACACAGCAACTCTCTTCGACCTTAAAATCCAAGAACTAAAACGCAACTCAACTCAGTGGGACTGTCTTTTGGGTCTTCTAAAACCCAAATTCAGATTCTTCTTCTTCGTTGTGAGGTTGAGAAGTCGGAATCAGAGGACTGCAAACAAATAAACTCCGTTATCAAAATCACTACCCGTCCTTCAAATTATATGGAAGGTTTCTATTCAACAAAGTGGAAATAGGAAAATTTTTCTCAGCTAAAACAGAAGAAAGGAAAATCATGTACAGATTGTCATTTCTCTACCAGCGTTCTAATAGTTCAACAGCACGGCATATGCCGCTAAAAAAAACCATGTCCGAATTCCAGCATTTCTGAACTGTGCTATAAATGGCGCAACGAAAAAAGAGGCCAAAATACATGTAATCAAATGTAGGGAAAAGAAGGAAATTAGTTCGTATTGACATGTATACTAGACAACATGTTTGTTGATTCTTGTTAGAACGCACACCTTAAGTTTCCAGCCTATAATTGGTTGCTAAAATCGGAGACTCGAAACTTAAAGCCCACAGCATTGATGAACTTGGAGAGCATGCCATTTTCCACATGATATGGTGCTACAAATCTTTTCTCCTTATGCCTGTAGGAACACCATAACATACTGGTGATGCTCCAATTAAGAAAGGAAGACTGCAAGCTTCACGTGCTTGACTCGTGAATGATCCAATCTTCGGCCTATGATCACAAGAAAACGTCATTGGATCACTTTCACAAGCTTCAGGCAATTTCTTCCTCGAGACTTTCTTCTTGGCAATACCTTGACGGCCCCTAATGCTCAATGCCTCAAATTCTTCTGCTACTTTGCATTCGGCACAACCCTCAGAGGAACTCGATCTTTCTTTTAGCCAACCATCAAGCATGGCCTTTGCAAATCGGTTGATGTCCTTGTCTGTCACTTCCCATAAATTTCCAATAATGACAGGAGAACCAGCCAGCAGATAAGATAGTGCGGGACCGTGTGGAACATAACAACCATTCAGTGTCAGAGAACCGCTACTACATCCCATCAAAAGCGTAGCAGCACAATTTTCCAGACTCTGAATCTGATGCATGGGAATATAGTTCACCCCTGTACCACAAGACATACAGACACAAATGTTCGGTTTGATGTTTTAAAAACTTTTTATGCCAAATATAAAAAAACCAGAATGATAAAGTATACTTATAATCATACGTACCACTTCCATGGCTGATATATACAAACAACGTAAATAATAAAGTATAATTATAATCAAACGTACCACTTCCGTGGCCGATATATATAAAGAGGTCATGGCTTTTCAAGGCTTCTGCCAATTCTTCAGCAGGGGGTGCACATCCTGCCTTCCCCTGTGCAGGGTATTTAAATGAAAGGTTACTTACGGAAACATATAGATTTGTGTTTATATTGATATATAAAATATGCCACATCCTCATGAATCTAATTTCAGACAGTGGTGAGGAATGTTTCAGAATTCCCCAATTATAGAACACAGACGTCTGTGCGATAGTAGGAAAGAGAAAAACAGAAACCAGGATATTACCTCCAAATTTTGATCTCTGAACCACTTCTCAAATTCGATTTGTGTGATACCTAGATCACCACCTGGGTTCAGGAGATAAAATGCATCCAATGGATCAATCGAAGGGAATGAAGCCTCCTGACAGAAGGCATGCGATAAGCCCCCTGGTTTCTTAGTACTACATGCAACTTTATCTTGATGGTAATTCTTCTCCAGCGTTGCAAAGATGCTCCCAACAGAAGGCATGCGATAAGCCTCCTGGTTTCTTAGTATCGGTATATTCTCCCAAGGAAGCATCTGTTAATCATCATTTAATCAGCTTATTCAAATGATGATAGGTGTATTGAGAAAAAGAAAGGTATCAGGTGTTATACAGAAAAGTGTATGCTGCTAATTGCCTATTTAGCAAAAAGAAAACCAAGAAAGTTGTCTTGAATTTCATATACTGCCTTGTGCAAAAAAGAAAGCAGCAAAAAAACAAGCTAATTTGTCTTGAATTGACCTTGGATTACAAAAGCATGAATAATCAACCAAGAGCAGTTTCATGAGATGACACACTATATGCTCCACACATACAATGATCCAGCACAAACTTTCAAGAGACACAAAATAGCTTAGGGGCTAACCTTTGTAATCCTAGCATGACTAACAAGTTAACGACAATTGGACCAAAATGGTTGATGACCATCTAGAGTTATGTAGGAAATTGAGGGAAAGACTAGGATAATCATAATATATAATGAATTATATTGATCAAAATGGTTGACAACTCTTTTTATACTTCTGAGTAATTTCATGGTGTTCCGACACCCCCTTATTTCATTATAGAAAACTACAGAATTTGTTGGCCATCCATGCTTTGCTCAATTTAAAAGATAATATTCAGAGAAGAAAAACATTTGGCTCATAACTTTGCAAAAACCTCTCTAAATAAGTAGAAAACAGAGGAACCAAGCACAATACCTGCACCTCGAAGTCCAGCACTAGAATGATGGGCTCTCTATTTACAGTATCTAGCCCTTCAAGCTCATTCACTGCTCCCTGTATTAGTTGGAAAGCCAATTCAGATAGTTTCTGATAACCATTAGATTCATTAGGTGATGCCAACCAATTGTTTTCCTCGGAACATCCAGCTTTACCAATATAGCAACCTTTCTTGAAACAAAGCTGTGAAACATATGCACCTCCTCCTTCAAAGGCATATTTGGAACCCCCAAGAATGACTCTCAGAAGACTCTCATCTATGTCCATTTTGCACTTAGATTTCAAATCCCGTGCCAGCTTCTTATGTACCAAGTCCAGCTGCTTGCAGTTTGACGATTCTCCCAGAAGCACATATTTCCAAGGACCAAACCATAAATCTTCTAAGTTCCTGGTGCATGAAGACATAACACCATGAGCGCCAAGTGATACACAGTTCTCCAAATTGAAAACTGATGTCTAATGTTAAAACATTAAACAAGGTACAGAATTTCGTTTTCATAAAAATTCTACTGCCATTAACAGAATATATAGATTGAAAACCCAAATCTAAACTCATTATCTCAACAAAATCCAATAAAAATAAAATAGGTTGGTGGACATTCATGAGTCGCACAATTAAGCCCACGAAAGTTTGCATACAAAGAGAGGAAAGAGGAACCTACTTCAACAATTTACAGAGGCGACGATCAAGCTTATTTCTCCACATCCACCATAACGCCCTATTCTCTTTTGTATCTTCTTCTTCTTCGATTGAAGAAGACAAATAACTCTCCTCCAATATCATTCTAAATTCTGGAGCTACCCTGTCAACCACAGTGGAACCCCATGGGCAGCACCAACGCTTTCCAACCTTTCCTTCAGAAACACTAACAGAACCAGAACTTGTATCATCAGAGGAGTCTCCTGTGGAAATTTAACATAAACAAATTACTGCAAGTGTTAATCAGTGCAAGACATGCTATGAACTTCTGAATTCATGCCTACCAACATTAAAAATTTACCTTCTAATACTGAATCCACAGGTAGAAGCATAATGAAAGGTTGACTCTTCAAGTTCAAGCGTGATACAAGAATCCATGCATGAACACAAGTATGAAAGGACAACAGCTCCTGTAGGAAACTAGCATAAGGGCTTCCGAGCAAACTTATACAGATAATTGTATTGCAAGGAAGGCCGGCAAAAAACAGTGTTACAAATCCTTCAAGTTCTTGAATAGACTCAGGTGCAAGCCTGCATCAGATATGAACAAATCGTGTTAGAATGGTTCAATGACAGACACCTACAATTTTGTAACGTGACAAACACAACCTGAGTAAATTCCTTTTTTCTGATCCCAAACAAGTTGAGCCAGGAACATGTGAACCCTGAAAATAGGATTTTTAACAACATTAACTTATTAGTATGTGTTAAATAAAGGAATTAAACATTGGGTTTGCTATGCAACTACAACAATCTGGAATGCTAATTAGCTGAACACAATATGAAGATTAGAGAGCCTTAAAAGCAAATTCCAACATGCATTCACAGCAGTAGGGAGGTAATGTCCAAATGATGGTTTATTTCAATACTAAACAATCCAAGTGGTGACAAAACTTGTTCATAATTACCCAAGAACAGAACGATGAGTGTGCAACCAGAAAATATACCATTTGCATTTATCTTGGGAGCTAAGACATTCAAATAATTGATGTAAGCCCCCAAGTTTAAAATCTCTCATATAGATTCATTAGTATGTATGTAGCTTGATTATTGCTTAAATAGACTAAATAAACAGAATCAAAGTGTGTAAACATACCTCAGTGTTTACAAGGTGCTGAACATTACATATCCCAGATATATTTGTGAAAAATTGGCAACTAAGATGAGTGCCAAGTGAAGCTTGATGGAAATAAGAAGCCCAATGGTTTTCACGGAGAGTTTTAGAAGAAGACGACAAAGAAAAAAGATCACTTGAGGCAGAAAGCACAAATATAGCTGCAAGCAATCTGGAAACCTGTTTAGCACCAAAAGTCAATCATCTTGAATAATGACAACATTATAGAAACCAAATAAAAGCAAAACGACAAAAAATATAGGAAGACACTTGGATTTGTAATAGAAGAAACTCAAATCCATAACATCCAAATTAAATGCGGTTATTATTTAAGTTTTACACAGATAAGGAACTAAAACTCCTTACAAAATAAGTCTGCTACCCTTACAACGCCGTGATCATCCACCCATATTCAAATTTTAACAAAACAAAAGAACACTAGTGAACTTAAATGATGTAGCAGTGACAATAAAAAACAATCTGAGCTCCTGTCATGTTTACAGAATCCAATAAATACAATTGAACTTACTCATAAAGCCATAGGAAATATTTTAAATGAAGAAAAGCATACCACAAGATCCTCTTAAATCTATATATTCTGTTACAAACACAGTATAGTATAAACCTAGGACAGATCTATCTTTCAAAGGCTCCATAGCATTCCTCTAAAAACCGTCAACCAACTTTTTGAACTGCATGACTCAATGCAGTAATACAATCCCATCATAAAATTGACCTCCCTTTTAAAAAACATGGAACGCAATGGATTGCGAGTTCAAAATAATTCCTGTAGAAATTATGGTTAACAGGATGTTCCAGATTACTTTTTAGGCATTTGAGTCACCATCCACCATTTGTAATGAGACTACACGCAGGACCAGAGGTTTGAATTCAAAGCCAAAAACACTCAACTGACCAAAATGCAAAGAAGCCACAGTTCAGGCTAAAGTTACTTAAAGCACTAAATGTTACAGAAGCAGCCAAGAAATTGTTTTCCTTTTCAATACATAAACATCCCCAACTATGTTAGACTATGTAATCCAATTTGACAAGAGTTGACCCTGTAACATTAAAATAAAACCAGGGTTACTTTCCGCCCAGTACGACAATGTTGCAACATGCCTTTCAAAAGAAGCTAGCTTTACTTGAGCCTAAAAAAAATGATTTCATTTTTCTTTTGGAAAAAAAGGAGTCATGAAACAAAAGAGATATAGTAGTTCATAAAGACAAAGGCTCAGGATTTGCTCCTTACTATAATAGTGTGACGTATGCACTTGACATCAGAATAAAGTCCATTAACAACTCACAAACACATGGAGAATGATATATCAATGAAAACACTACAGCCAATGCAATGAAAGGACTATGAAAGAATATAAATAGAAAATCAAAATAAAAGAAAAAAGAAAGGTAGAGTTGACCTTCTGGAAAAGTACAGGAACATCGCGGCAGAGAACAAAAGCTAGCATCAACCAAGACACTAGTTTTGGTAGCTGAATATGAGGCAGATCAGAGCACATACTCCTGGTGAAAGAAAATCAAGAGAGAGAAAAACAATTAGCATTATTACAAATCTGAACAATGCACTCATGTTAACATTTGCATCTGTCATTAGGTATTTGCCTTGGAATTGAAATTTTTTCTTAGGTCTTTACATTGGCATCCATTGTCAGTTAAAGCCAATATTCAACGGTAAAGGCAAAAAAAAAAAAAATTTCAAAGCTAGCTTTTAGGACAGTTTTCCAGCGCTAAAGCATCATATAAGAAACAAACAATATGCTCACCACGATTGCTCTTTTTCTAAATTATCAATCATTTACAGATGTCACTGTAGCACAAAGTGAATTTAGACAAATGATACTAATTCTGGAAAACCTAAAATTCTTATTAGACGAACATATACACATGGCTTTGCTTCTAAAAGCATTTGGGCCAGTTAAGAGAAGCAACCAAACAAGTTTTGTTCTTCAATTAGCCAAAATTAGGATGCCATCCTTAGTCACCCTGATTCTTTAAATAAAATTTTATACCCTTTTAAAGCTACTGGGACAAATTTTCAGCTGGCAACTCGGGATTTTCTATTACTTTTTTAGAAAAAGGGCTTTTGTGTTCCAAAGATGCCTTTCTTCTCCTATTAAAACTAAAATGTGACTGTTTGGCTCCAAACATAAAGCAACTGATTATCATTCCAAATTATTAACTCCTTTTAAATTTTAGAGAGAGGGAGAGAAAAAAACTTGCATGAAATTCTCTCTCACTGTCTCTGAAAAGGTTTTCTTGCAGGTCAAGGGCACTTCCAGCAGATTTATTTTCTCTGAAAGTGACACAATTTCAATTTTTAAACTTTTTCGACATTGTTTGCTGCAATTGCATGTACCCATAAGAGCATGGGTAAACTTTATAAATCCATTGCAGCTTATCCCAAAAAGAAAAAAAAATTGAAGGCATTACTCATCTCTTTTATACTAAGAAGGAAGTGACCAGTGATACTCCTGATTCTAAATTAAGGCATTTTTACGCAATAAGCATGCATAGACATACATAAGAACTTACTATTAAGATTACCTGGTTTCCTTAGAACAGTAACTCTTCAAAGACAACCAACTTATGTTCAACAGTACTTCTGCCCGTTCAACACAGAACACATCCCCGGGGATCTCCTTTGCCATTAAATCAAGCAAGGAAGTCAATGGAACAGTTGAGGTAATAGGACAAAATGGGTTTCGGCTGACCAAGACTGATACAGTTTGCACTATAATTTCATGTGTCTCATGAATTTGACCACGAGTCTCCAAGCATTTTCCTGAAAATTGCTAAATTTAATCAATAAATATTTTACGGAAACAAAAAAGTTTTAAAGCAAAACACAAAACAAAGTTCCATGTCCATTGGATCTCATACTTTAGCCATAACTTGCAAAACAAAATGCAAGAACACAACTATGTATGGAAATCATGACACGTTTGGCAATTCAAAAGCAAGAAACTATAGTGCTAAGAAAATTGTTAATAATACTAATGATAGCATTAAAAATGATAGGACAATTTTATGCAGATGAATCCACCCTTAAAAGTCTCTGAACTTTAGTTTCTTCCATGGTGCTATGTCTGACCTCTCAAAATCAAAATTAATCACACATAAAAGTAAAATGGTACTGATCATTTCTCATTTCACAAAGATCAGCTACATAAACCACCACAACCACATGATAAAAAAGAGTCCTAAAACAAGGAAGAGGTTAGAGACAAAACTCAAAGCATCTTTCATAGTTCCAAAAAACGCACACAATAAGCATTGTCCATCCTTTTCCAATAAGCATGACCACCATCATCACCACCTCGGCCCACACTACTGGTGCTGACACCATGCTCAGCCTCATCAGCGCTGGCCTTACCAAAGGGCAACACACATGAGCTGGCATTGGTGTTGGGAAATGAGGCAAGAGCCATGACTTGAATCTCTATCAATTTTTTAAATAATTTTCCTTTAGGCTAAAATAGTAACAAAATTTTCATTAAAAGATGGGTGTAATGAGAAACTATTACAGTGCAAACAGAAGTTCATTCAATAGACAAACATGCATGCAGATATAGAAAGTAAGAGATTATAACGTAGAGCTGCCCCCTACCTAATCCTGTGAGAAGCCTGAGTGATAAACGCCTGCGGACAAACTCCCATTTTAAATGTACTAAGTCTGTCACTAACCCAGATTCCATAACTTCCATAGGAAGACATTGCCAACACCTCATTTGGTTGCAAATGCAAGTTACATTGCACCCAAAAGCAACCTCACAGCTTTTTAAATCCAAAAGAAATTCCCTCTTGCTAAAAGTATCAGGGCTATCACGCTCACTTTTTCCTTGCAGATGTTTTGAAGGACCAAGTTGGACGATGCCATTTCCACTTATGCTTTGGTTCTGAGAAGATTGATATCTAGACCGAGTTACCCTCAAATTGTGCTCAGGTACTGAAACCTGATTCTTCACGACCGGTTTTGGTGCATTTTTGGTCTTTTTACATTTTTTAGCATCCATCTTGCTTTTCAGGCCCTCCTTAGTGGGTTTTCTATTATCCCGCTGTTTTTCTTCAGAAACAGTATATATACTGCTAACACAATATCCAACGTCTTTAAAACTAGCTTTTCCAGGCATTGTCCATTCAACACACTCTTCTTCTGGACAACTAACAGAATTTTTCCACTCAGAAAGATTTAGTATGGCAATGGCTGATTTGTACAGGTTTTCAGCATGCGACAACTTATCTGACGATGTACTTCTTGTATTTTCAAAAATGCTTTGATATAAATCACCAAGATTCTGATTAACAGTTGCTTCCAGCAACAATCTGCATTTCATGCAAGAAAGATCTGTGCTGCAAGCCCCAAAATATTGCTTGGCACTTTGCAGTTCCTTTTCCGCCAAATCCCAAAGTTGCTGCTTGTGGTAAAGCTTTCCTAAAGACACTCAAATTTGAACAGTGAATTAGCAAGTTATTACAATCCGCTTCTTTTGAAACCAGGGGCGAAGGAAGAAATAATTGTGAGACAACGGACAAGAAATAAGAGAGTTGTTATACCCAAGACAGTAGAAAAAACAATTGTAAATAGTGGCAAGCTCTGTGAGCAGGAAAAAGCTTTTCCAAATTGTAAAAAACCTTCAGCCTCAGCTCCTTTACCAATTATTTCAAGGATAACCCCTACCTGCAGGTTATATGGGAGATCCAAATTCAAATCCAATGTTAGTAAAAGATAGGTCCAGACTTGAACTTTGACAAGATTGACAGAAAGAGGAAGAAAAACCTGAAGAGTGCTCTCAAGATAACATTGAGTGCATTCCATGGACTCAGATAATAGCTTTCCAGGTCACATGAACTAGTATCAAAAAGCCAAACTTCACTAACAACCTGATCTTTGCATATGCATATCATGAATGCTATATGTTAACTCCTGACAAATACCCCCTTCATTGTACTTTTTGGGCTGTCGCTCAGAAGAGAACATAAATTTCCCTCCAAATAGTTTAGCACGTAAGTTGTGAGCTTCTTTTGCATATGAGAGAGCCTACAGAATATTAAGAAATATGAATACAAAATCATCATGCAGGAATCCCCTTGATTAAACCATGAAAGCATCTCAACATCTACTAATTAACAGTGCAAAATACTTTGTTAGCATTTAACGAACCAAAATAAATCAAGTTAAATAAACTAATGCAGACTACCTCAATTAACCGTCCATTTGAAACAAGTCTTTCCGATAAATCATAGTAGAGATATCCAGCCATGTAAGCAGACCAAGTCGATACAGGAGCCTAGAAGAAGAGTACCAAAATGTATTTATTGTGTCATTAAGGCATAAGAGTTCATGATGGCAACTTGAGAGAAACTTACCTGTGATATAAGTCCAAAAGCAGCTTCCTTAACTTCATCAATTGTGATATCTGATCGAAACAAGCTTTGACGATTCCATGGGCCCCGAGAAAAGTTTGGAAACAGAAATGAGAAACTATGTTGGAACACTAATAGTAATGGTGTGGAATCCTTTAGAGAATCTATCCAAAAAGCATTAGACTTTGAAAGTTCACCACAATGATCTGATAAGTTCATAATGAATGTCTCATTTACAGGTGAGGCACAAAGGGCATGGCTAATCCTCCTACATTCCCAAAATCTGGCCACGCACTTCTCTAATGGGACATTCCTCCATTTAAATAATATAATCATAAGCTTATGTATATCATTATGAAAGTCCATGCAACCCTGAAGATAATGAAGAAACAAAAGCATTGTCATTGTTAAGAATAAAATCATGTCCTAAAGAAATAATATTTTCAGGTGGATCCTACAGCACCAACAACATCAGAGGACAAACCTTGACAGATAACAAATCAATGACATTGTAAAGTAGCAACATAGTATTTTCAGACAACATGGAGCACTTGTCAGCCGGAGAGCAATTATCAGGAGTAGAAATGCCCAACCATAGATTAATGGCAGCACTGATATCTTCAAGCACTTGCTGCTCATGAGTCATAACAAACACAAATAAAATAGTTGGAAATATTGTAAATTCAATGACACTTAAGCATATAGAAACAGCATATAAAGCTTTTTAGCAGTAATTACTCAATCTTAGTAAGTAACTTTCATGATTTAGCACCTTTGAGTTGGGTTCAGCTTCCTGGGTAGAAAGTGCACGTAAGCAATATGCCACAGCTAATTGATGGCAAGGAGAAATTTCATGGGTACAGGTTTCATCATACATCTCACTCTGATACAGTAGCTTATTGATGTCAGCCAGAAACCCAAAAATCAAAGGGTTACCCGCTAAAGGCGAGTCATTAAGATTCGGAAAAACAACAAAAAATAAACTAATATCTAAATTGACTTACAAGTAAACATATTGCATCCGATAAACACTGAATACAGTCCTTCAGACCTTCGCTTCCAGAAAGCCTTAATGCCCTTCCCTTTTTCAACAAAATTCTTGATTTTTGTAACCAACTATTTGGTGTGACATACACATCTTTCAGCAGGAAATCTATAATTTTCATTTGCATTTTCTGACAAAACTTAGGGTTCACAGCAGTCATTCCCTCATAAGCAAGAAGTTCCTGATATTTCAAGATAGAAATGCAGACGTGAGAAAAGTTAGTACAAGTGCAACCTAAAGTCTAGGGATATATATATATATATATATATATAATGAACTCCAACTGCAAAGAAATACAAAATGTTCCAACCTGTTCCAAAACGGTTTCGTTAATCTTCTTTGGGACTTTCTTATAAGACAATAACAAACTGTATAAGGTTGGAGCATCATCTTCAACATTCACATCCTTGTAACGCTTACATTCCATCTAGATATGGCATAATAAAAGTAAGATACCAGATACAGCATATTAAGTGAACACAATAGATAATTATAACATGATTAGAATGAGATTTTGTGTCGACATTTGATGATTAGATGATGTTAAGTAAACACAACACGAAAAGTAAAGGAAGTTCCAGATGATACCTTAACCCACTGCTTCACCACAGCCATAGGACCTGGCAGCCTCCCAAACAAGTTTGCAGCAATGGACCAATTTTCAAGGCTCTCTAATAAAGTTCTTTTCGCATCATAACTCTGCAATTCATTAAGAACGTCCAAAAGAAAAGCACTTCTCGTACAGCACTCATTATAGAAATCTAAAATGGCATCTTCTGACAGATCAACCTCGGACGCCTCTTGTTTGTGTACAAACATCTCACAAAGACGTATAACACGAGTCCATGATGCCTTACAACATAAGTTCAAGGCCTGTGATGCCTGCAGAGGTACTTTACAAAGTCAAGCAAAAGAAAGGCCTCAACAAGGAATTGTAAAGTACAAAAATGCTTTTGGTATAAGGTGGTTTTATCTTTTCATAGGAAACTACATTTCATTAAAAGAAAAGAGAAATTATAGTAGACGACATATACACTAAGCTTAAATAATTAAAAACCTGCCTCCACCAATAAACGATCCACATACAACTACAAAATCTAACAGCAATTCACAGAACAATCATACAGCTACATCCCCATCCAATAAGATTGAAAAAGAGTATCTATCCTGTACAAAGGGACTACATGACCAAAAAGAAACATCAGAAAACAACAGAAAATTTCCTTGAATTTGGTTAAATTAGGTCAGGAGTGAAACATATTTAAACATAGCAAGAGCCTGGATTGTCTATAAGGGTCATGGCTAACTTCTAAACATAAAAGGTTCAGTTAATAAGAAATAAAGCAGTGCCTTATCTGGAACTCTCTCCAGTTCAAATGAAAGTGCAGATGCAAATATTCATCTAGAAGCTTAAACTATAGCACAAAGCGATCCTATTCTTAAGGTCTACCGCATCTTGTATGGGTATTAAATCCATCTAGCATCGAACTTTCAAAAAGGGTATGGAGAAAAATTGCTCACTTTTCGTTATTACCTTGTCAACTGCTTTTGAGTTATACCAAAGTGGCTACACTATATCATCTCCTTTAAGAAGCACTCATTTTTTAAGTTATTCAGTCTGACTGTATAACATGCCAAACCGTCTGACAAGATATCGTTTTCCCTTTTTCAGCCACAATGTGTGTTATGTACCCCCACACACAAATATATACATGACATTGTTTTATTTGAGGGGCTTTTCATCCTTGCAAAAAATGAACTTTGGTTGGAGAACTAAAGATAAACGTTTTGGATCTATCAAACTACAATGAGGAGTGGGGACAACAAAGCGTCCCTCAAATGGTCATATTTGAGGGATATACATATGTGAAACACATTGGACAGGGAGCAGATTAATACATTGACAACAGAGCAAACATCTTTAGATACTTGAGGTAAAACATTTGCAATGACAATACTGCTATGGTGCTACCCAAATCGAGTAGTGTAATATATGTATCTAACTCTAAAGGATTATCATGGCTCTTTACACATAAACAACTACAGAGGTGCCCCTCACATATTCGATAGTATTTAAATATTAAGCCCATAGTTCCAGTATTTCTGCATATAGACAACATAAATAAATGTGTCAATTTCCAGATATATTCTTTATCTTGATACATGGTGTTTTTGGATAAAGAAATTGAGAGAAAAAAAATACAGAGAATTTTTTGCATTTGAACAATAAAATTTGGAGCGGAATGGAGACAAAAGATGAGAGGTTTGCAAAGAAAATGAAATTTGTGTTGTGCTTGATTTTTGAAAAAATATCCTGAATTGAACATTTCTTTCTGTCTTTCTTCTACCTATCCAAACAAGAATAAGAGAAAGTAAATACCCCCTCTTCCCTCTCGAATCTACTACCTATAAATTTTAATAACTAAACGCAATATATACGAAAAAAAATACCAAATCTATCTAATATGGACCTCAAACCAAGCCTCGGGAATCATCTTTGGAACTTAAAACAAAATAGTTCTGATGAAATGTAGATCAAACTAAATTACTAAAGCTAATTGTATAAAATGGTTGTTAAGAGAACAAGAAACTTCAAACAAGATATAGTTCAATGTTTAGAATGGATGCATGGCAAGAATTTATTCAAGCCATAAAAGCACTTACAGAGCCAAGTACAATAAAGATAACAAGTAGAATATAATAGAAACCAACATTACTTTAGACTGAAAATGATGCTTCTCATACTACACCATATGCCATCCAGTCATAAATATTCATTCTGTAAAAGAATACCTCTTTTAGCTCCTTGTTCCGGTACAAATGTACCCCGATATTGTACAGAGAGACATACAGATGCTTTAGACCATGAGGTTGAATCCAAACACTGGTGATGACATTTTCAAGTATTTGCACACTCTTCTGAAATAAGAAAAAGGCAAGCCAGTTACCTAGTTTGCGCAGATAAAGATTGTGCTGTACAAGAGTCATAAGAAATAAACATTTCACTAATGAGAAAACAAATAACTGGGACCATTTCAGCATTATATCACAAGAATGACAACCTGAATGTTCAGCTTTGTTATGATGGAGAGGGTAAAAGCAGCCACAGCAACATCAAGGGTGCTGTTTCCATCAAATCCATCTCTATCCACCTCATATGTACATCTGTACCTAGGCACAAGCATATTTCAGATAAATCTTGCAATCTTGTAAGACAGTAGTTAGGGAAAAGACTGAAGAAATTGTGGATTAAAAGACCAAGCAACTTCATTCACGTGTTCATAGTACTCAAAGAAACGAAACACTGAACCTTATCATTGACTCACATTTTAAGAGAAAGAAAAACGTCACAAAACTGATGGAATGCACCCTGGATATGGCACACTTCAGTAGAAACAGAAGCAGCTTCATTATTAGTAATAATCTGTTTCCTTCCTGAATTTACAAACTCTGTAAGCGGCTGGCATAAGAATTTCAATGCATTAAAATAAGACAGAAGATAGTTCTTTCTATCCTTCTGCATTTGAATCAATGAGTCCCCACTGTCCGAACTCAATTGCGAATTGGATAACAAAGAGTCATCATTGCAGCCAATTTGGAAATAACTTCTCAATGAACCAAGCAAACCGGACAAGCGATTCACTGTGTCCCCATCATCAAGCAAAACTCTAATTGCACCTTCAAAGGATTGAAAATGACCAACTTTTGACTTCATACTACGATCAACAAAGTGCAATCCAGTGGCATAAACCCTCAGAATTAACTGAAAAGGTGTTCCAGCCTGCACAAAAAGGTAGTATTTTAATTGCAACATACAAATGCAAAAACTGCCAATGAGTACCAGTTTAGTGAAATTTATATGAGCAAACTACATAAATAAGATACCTGATGGAAATCACCTGCTAACTTATTTAAATGAGATCCAATAATACCGCAAAGGTTTGTGTTTGTAGTTTGACATTTCTTGGCACAATAAGCAATAAGTTCAACTAACTCTTTTCCTGTATTTTCCACTTCAGCCTGCCAAAGTTTACAGAAATGCAATCATTCTGACTAATTCAAGTTATAAATCCGTAAGTAATTATCTCCAAACAGTTCATATGAAGATAGCACCACCTCCAAAAGTAAAGAAATTGTATATAAGGTTCAAGGCAACATTTGTTTATGAGGTACAATTCAAATAAATAAAAAGTTGCCATCAAGATGTAACTCAGTAACAAGGGAAAGTACTAAAAGTCCACGCATATGAATTGGTGATCAACTGTATGTTGCAGCGTAATTCTCATAAGAAAGACAATAAAAAGTACTTAGTCCAAAGAAAATTGATGAAAATGAACAATAAACAAGTGGAAAATCTAGCTTAAGTTCTCCTCCACACAAGAACTTTAGTTAGAGACCCTGTCATATAATTTCTTCACCAAAATTAAGGTCCAAAGATAGCACGTTGTGTTCATTTATTAAGGGATAGTAACAAATTAAAACATACATTGCATGTGAATTTTAGTATACTAAAAATATGAAATAATTCAGATTAAATACCACACAGACTAGTCCAAGGTTTTACAAGGGTGGTGCTATCCAACACTCCTTTTTACCTTTCCCACACTCCTCTCAATTCCCGGCCGTCAAATTGAATGAATTGAAGAGGATCAAAGGGCAGAAATTAACAGAGGGAGTGTGGAAAGTAAAAAAGGGTGTGTGGATGGCACCACCCCTTTACAAAGGACCTATATGCTACTAATTAGAATGATTTTTTAATTAGGATATTCTCATGTACATTCACTTCTACCAAAAATTTGATACTTGTTTATTTTATGATCAAATAACAATTTTTTAATAAATATTAACTAAACTGTTACATTATTTGCAGAAACAACAATTAATATAAAAATCAATTCAATTAGACATAACATTCTTTTCTCTATTTTTTTGTCAAAGAGTCATATAATATTTGTGGTCTTCAATAATCACTGTGATATTTTTCCCTTTTCATTTCCTTGGATAAAAGTGAAGCGGAAAACCTACCCTAAATTAATTATCTAACTATACCATTGTAATGCGATTGTTGAGCCAAAAGAATAATACAATTAAGAAAACAATTATGATATGTCTTAAAAAAGAAAACAAAGGGAATCAAATCGAAGGTCTAAATCATACCAAGTAGATACAACGAAAAAAAAAAAATGTAACAAATAAAAAATCTGCATGATCTGATGTCTAATTCCCAAGCCATCATACATTTTCAAACGGGCCAAAGTACTTTGAACCCAGAAGATATGGAAACCTTTCTTTAGCTTAGTTATTATATGGTATCCCAAAGTTCAAGAATACAAATAAAAGCATGTGATCATATTTCTGCCATTTAGTTGAAATAGAGGTCAAAATGTCTAATACAAACTGGCTCAGCCTTCAAACGAATATCTGGAAACTAAACATTGACATGGGCACTGACCATTTAGGAGCATAAACATCTTGGTCAAATCACATTCCTCAGTCCTAAAATACACATTTAAAACCATCTGCATTACCTTACATTCGTGGACAAGGGAGTCCAACAAGCAAAATAAGATGCGAGTGAGTGTGAATGTATCCTCTTGAAACAAGAATAAAGATGAACATATTGTACGGGCAAACTGCATGAACAAAAGAAAAAGACTGATTAGATAAGTGCATCAAATTTTTTATACAATCCGTACTATAGAATCAAACATAGGCTACCTTGAACATTGTGTCTTTCATTGGCGACTTAGCATACTCGGTCATGGTTACAATGCAGAACTTTTGCACAAGATCCCCATTGAAGACCGATAGCTCCCCAACTAAAAATTGAGTACACCTACTCAGATAGGCAACCAGATTCCTGTGCAACTTCTCACATGTGCTTGCATCTAATACCCTAAGACATTTCATATCAGGTACACCAATCAGTAAACTACTTATCATTGCTGTAAAATCACAAATAATGTTAAGTGCTCGAAATGCCAGTGAAACTGTGCCTGCTTCAGATAAGTTCAGGGTTCTGCTTTTCAACTTGAAACATTTAATTCAAAATACTAACAGCAATATTGTACGGAAAGCGAAAATCGGATGACTCACTCACCGGAACCACGGCATGACCTCCTCAGCCAAACAAAGCACCCGCTCAAACACCTCACTGTCCTTACTCTGACTCATGGCCGCACATTTCACAAGCGTCACCACAATTTCACCCACCAAAGACCCAAAATCTTTATCTCCGCCCCCCTTCTCCACATCCGGCACAAATCTCCGATCCGATTTCACCGATTTCTTCGACCCACATTCAATCGCCTTAAGGCTCTCCAAAACCCTAAATCCCTCACTTTCCGCATCCTTGTACCGCCCACATGCCACGAGGCAACTCACCATCCTCACCCTCGGGTAGTGAAACGAGCACGGCGAAGCGGACAACACAGAGGACACGGCGGCCAGGCAGTCGAGGCAGAGCCGATAAATATCGAAGAGTTCGAGGGAAAATCTGTCATCTAACTTTGAGGGGTCGGCAAGGCGTTTGGGGAGAAGGGATAGCGTGCGGTTGAGGAAGGGGAGGAATTTCTTGGCGAGCGAGCGGAGGAGGGTTTGGTGGTCTTGGGATTTGGTTGATTTTTTTGTTTTTTTGGGGTTCTGGAGTTCAGTGAAGGGCTGAAGGTAGGCGGCGACTAGGGGATGAAGGCCGGCGGAGTTGGAGGCTTCAAGTTTTGAAATGATGGCGGTCTCCTCCATGGTCGGTGGAGAAAGAGAGAGAGTGTGAAATGTCTGGCTTTTTCTGGGCTTAGGGCGCGCCAAGACATCCCCTTTCGAGCTTATTTAAAAAAAGAAAGGAAAATGGAGCTGTAATTCCCATTTTACTTTCGAGGCTTTTTTTCTTATTTGAACAATAACGGTTAAATCACGTCAACATTTTATATAAAATATTTTTACAGAGACAATAAGATAAAAAATAATGTATGAAGAGGGAAGGGAAATGAATGAAAATAAAAGGGAAGATAATCCTACATCTTTTATTTTTCCTAGTTTGGTGCACTTTACTACTTTTATTTTTCTTATTCTAACTTTTATACTTAAAATTTGATTCTTTTGCCATTTTGATACCTCTATTAGTACTGGTTTGGTATTAATGTGTTTTTTTCAAAAGTGGGTATCAAAAAAAAAATCTGAGTTTTTTTATGTTTGGTAAACATTCAACTTTAGCTTTTTTTACAGTTTTATGTGAAAAAAAACTGAGAGTTCAAAGCAACAAAAGCTAGCTTTGAAAAATCGACTTTTTTTTGCTTCCACAACTTATGCTCAAACCTAATTTGCAAGAGGCGCTGAGCCCTTTAATGAAACTTTCAAACACCCAAAATTACCTTAAACAATTAAATAATTACACATAATACTAATTGGAAAACGTCGTTGACTTCAATTGGAAGGTCGTCTTCGTCGATCCCGCCACAACGTCGTTCATTCCTAGCTTCAGCAGTCACTGTTATTGACCTTGGATTCCATACCCTAGGATGTTGTTTTTGCCTCTGTCCTTCCTCCCATCTCTTGTCCATTCTCTCTCACTCCCATGCCGACAAAATCATGCCAAGAAATACCACCATCTTTTCCGACGAGGACCAGATTTGGTTTTGGTATCGTAGATTTGCCCAAATTGCACCGATTATAAGTGACTAATCTTCATTTTTCTGCAAATTAGGAGAGCCCAGATTGCCCAGATGGACACCAAAACTCAATCATTCCAAATACCCAAAATTAAATAAAGGAACTACTTCGTATGATCAAATTCACACTATACAGTTTCAAATAGAAAAAATGATTAGTCTCGAAAGAAGAAAGAAATCATAATCTTGGAGCGTTGGCCCTACCCAATGTATATAATGAACTCCTCTAGCAACTAGACCATGTATGTACTGCAAATCAAATGACAGGTGAGAAAGATTGAGGAACGGAGCAGAAAATAAAAAAGAAGAAGACGGAGCAAAAAAAAAAAAAAAAAAAGAGAAAATTGGGGTTGTGAGGGAGACTTCTAGAGAGATGTTTTTGGTTTTTGAAAGTCTGGTTTAGTAGTGGGGGTAGTGAGAGAGACTTCTTGATGCAAATGGAGAAAATAAAGGGGGAAGACTTAAGAAAATTAAATTAATGGCACATCTAGTATTATACATTTTTTAGTCATTTCACACAGTCACAACTGTTTTACATAAAAGTTTACCAAACACTATAATATTACTTTTTTTCTTTTTCGAAAGCACTTTTACAAAAAAGTTTATAAAACACTATGCTACTTTATTTCACAGCTGCTTATTTTTACACCACATCAGAAGCAATCACAGCAATACCAAACCAGCATTTAGCCTAGTCGTTAACTTTTTTGTTAACTAATGACGTGACAAGATCTTTGCCTGCTAATTCTCAAGTATCATGAAATTTGCACTTTTTTACTTTAGTTTTTTTCGTCTCACTTTCATTATCTAAAGTTACGTTTTGATCTCAAATTCATATTTCCATTAGCCTGGCCGTTAAAACATGACGTGGCATTTGACAAGTGATGCATAAACTTAGTATTGTGGGTCCCGCAAGGTGTGGAAGGTGGTTAAAGGAGATTTTGAAATAAGTTCCCGCCAAAATAAAAATTTTCAAAAACTTAAAAATAGCATATTCTGTCAGCCTGCCACATGCACACAGAAACCTAATTTTCGCAAAAGTTTTTGACTTTTTTAATTTTTTTTTGTTTGTTACTTTGCAAAAAAAAAAAAACATTTTAATTTTGTCCATGTAGTGCCATAATGTCACGTTTTTGCACAATCATCGTTTAATCATCATAACATAAATCTATAAATTTGTTATGTGATCTAAAATTGAGGTTGAGGTAGTAAAATGTAGTTTACAAACTACTTTTCAAAGCATGGGCTGTTTTCGAGTTTTGAGAAATTTAAGCATTGGATTGGACACATAATTTCTCAACACCCAAAGAATAGAATCAAAGTTTATGACGCGAGACTTGTGGGCAGGATAGCTTAAAATGCTTATGTGAGTATTTATAGCCTCAGAATAAAAGGATAATCGTGGTATGCCATCGGTTGTCTCATTTTTAAGAAAGAATCAAAGTTTATGACCCATCCAAACCGGGCCTAACCGACCCGCCATCAACTGGCAACTTAAAACCCTAGAAACAAAGAACGATAAAACCCTTTTGCCGCTCGTTGGGGTTTCTGCAGTCGCAGGGGGCAAAAAGCAGAGAGCTAACCAGAAGCCGCTCACTTCCAATCCTTCGCTATGCCTAAGTCTAAGCGCGATCGACAAGGTCTGCCGTCTCACTCCTTTCTGTTTGGTTGCCGAGAAAACTTGCAGAAAACCAAGAAATTCCAATCCTTTTATTCGTTTTTAATATTAATACATATATAAATATATTTATGTTTCGAAATGTCAGCTGAAATCTCTAATTAGGTTGTTTATCATGAATTAAGAGATTGTTTTATTTTGTTTTACATATAATTGGTTTGGGTTTGAATTGTTGAATTCTTTTTCTAATTTTTTTAATATTATGTTTGTGTGGTTTAAATTGGAAGCTAAAATTAAATTGGTTTGAATTTTGTTTCATATTATTTTCATTTGTTAAGAGTTTTTAGTTTGATGGTAACAGAAATTTAACTTGTAAAAAATGAAAATTTTGATAATTATTGAAATTTGATGCATATGATGAAAGTTTTAATTTGTTATCTCGTACATCTCGCGAGCATTGAGCGATTGGTCTTATGAATTGGAGAGTGGTATGAAATATGAATAATGTTATGGTCCGTTTTGTGATTGATTGAATTTATGGTTGCAGTTACGTTATCCAAGACAAAGAAGAAGGGAAGGGAACATAAAGAAACAATAGTAAATACAATTCGGCAGGCAGCGGAAGATTACAGTTCTGCTTATGTGTTCTCTTTTGAGAACATGCGGAATCACAAATTCAAGGAGTTCAGAGATCAGCTCAAATCAAACAGCAGGCAAGTTCATTTTCAAGATGCTCCATTGGTTTTAGTGGTAACTGGTAACTCAGTATGTATGCCGTGAAATTTAGAGAAAACAAACTCGCACGCTGATGTTTGGTACGTAAAAAAAAAAAAAAAAAAACTCCAGTTGACAGTGCAGTTTTAGGCTGATAATTGGTTGACTACGCAGAATACTTTCAATCAATGTTTGAACTCTTCTTAATTTGATTGCATCCTAAACATGGAGAGTATTGGTCATCTATAGTTTGTTTTGCAATGTAAGCTAAGAGAGGAGAGACTTTGCAGATAAAAAAGGAGAAGATAAATTCAACTTTTTTTGTGCTTTGATTGGTTGTCCTAGGAAGAAATTAATTATATTTTTTCATCGGTGGGGTGCTCTTTAATCTTAAACGATCCAAGGCTTCAAATTCTTTTTCCCATCTCTCAACTTTCAAAGAAAATTAAAATGTGGGCCAAGAAAAATTTGATGCTTCTTATGGCTTTGGGGATGGAAACTTTTTGAAGGCGTGAGAAAGCATCTTTTACAAAACCCAGGCGGCCTTTTCAAATCAACTTTAAAGCCTTAAAACGATTTAAGATCACTTTCCTGTGGACAACCAACCACAATTGAAAGCAAGTTGTTGGCCGAGAATTGATCTTTGAACTAGAAAAGGTTAGCTTTGAGAGAATAAATCCTGTATTGGAGTAAACTAACTGTGCTCATAATATGGTTATTTCAACTTGTACATGTAAGTATGTAATTGTTTTGTGGAAAGATAAGTTTCTTAGTCATGGATTCTACAATATGAGCAAGTGTATCATGAGGGATTTCATTGTTGTTCTCAGGTTTTTCCTTGGCTCAAACAAAGTCATGCAAATTGCCTTAGGTCGGTCTGAATCCGATGAGATTAGACCAGGCCTCCACAAAGTTTCTAAGGTACTCCTTTATTGCACCCAAGATTTCTACTATCTTTTATTAAGTTGAAATTATTGTCTTATACCTTTTGTTTATTTTTCTTAGGTTCTGCATGGAGATGCTGGTCTATGTTTTACCAATTTGCCTAAGGAAGAGGATTGAAAGGTAAAAGTACACATTTACTCATGTTTACACGCTTGGGAAATGTATGGAGTTTTGGATTATCTACTTATATAGGTGATGGGTGATATGAAGCTTTATAACTCAGTTCATAGAACTTCACAATTTTGTACCTTATTGGCATATAAGGGAGTCTATGATGGTCAATTATATGAGATCCATGCCTGCAGTGATTTTACTGAATGTGGATTACAAAACACATACGTCTTTATCTACATTATTAATACTTTATTAACGCACCTTACCCGTGGAAAAATAGTTGAAATGAAAAGAATATAGTACAGTTTGAAGGAAGAAACTAAAGTTTGCTAATAGTGAGATGTTCAACAATATAAATACTCTATTAACGCATCTTATCCCTGGTTAATTGAATGTTTCTGGTGAAGAGCTTTGGTGCTTACATTATTTTGCCACATATAATTGTTCTGATCTTGTGGTTGTAGGGTACCTCGAGAGTTTTATCCAAATATGTGCTCATTTTCTTTTTAAGTTTCAAATTTTGAAAATATCCTTTCTTCCAAGTACCTTGTACTTGTACTTGTTTTATTTTTATTATGTTTTCAAATCCTCTCTTTCTTTGCAGTTTATTCAATGAATATGAGGAGCATGACTTCGCAAGGACAGGAAGCGTTTCAACGGAAAAGGTTCTTGAGATTTTTTTTTTTTTGTGTGTAGTTAGTGTTATATTGTGAGGTTATATTTGAAACACTAGACTTATCTTCTGGGGTTATATTATTTGGTTTAGCTGTTAGCTTTCAACTATTCCAACCATTAACTCGTGAATCTTCTTTCAAATGTATTAGGTGGAACTTAAGGAGGGTCCTTTGGAGCAATTCAGTCATGAGATGGAGCCCTTTCTTAGAAAACAAGGGATGCCCGTCCGATTAAACAAAGGTACCTATTTGCTTTCTTGGTTTGCCAGTCTCTGCACTTGTAAGAGAAGACAATGTAAACGGTTTGGGTCTATTCATACTTGCAGGTGTTATCGAGCTTGTTTCAGACTTCCTTGTCTGTGATGAAGGAAAGCCTTTGTCACCTGAGTCAGCTCGGATACTGGTTCGTTTCATGCTCGTATTTTTACTTAGTTTGTATTTCAAGTACATCCCAACTGAGTTTTTATGCATGATGGTTACCCTCAATTTCTCGTATTATGAAATTTGTTGAAACAAATGAGTAATGATAATAATACGTGTGTGACCTAATTTACCTTTTTTGTATGCAGCGTTTGTTGGGAAACAAGATGGCTAGTTTCCGACTTCACTTGATTTGCAGATGGAGCCCTGGTGATTTTGAACAATATGCTCCAGGACCAGATGATTCAGGTGTCGAATCCTCGTAAATGCTAAATACGGGATCCATAGGCATTTTTGAATACAACACTAATGGGACTGGGTGTGGGGAAGTCTGATGTGTTTGTAGTATTATGAAATACAATAGGCTCTTGCAGACCCTCGGGCAATTTTTGAGTTCGTTCTGGTTTTTGGTCGTAGTCAGTAACCTCTGCACTTTTAAATTTTAATCCATATGTTTTGACCTGCTGCTGTATGCTCGGGTTTTGCAGTAACATTGCCATTTCTGCAAAATCCCAAATTACCAGTGCTGATTAGAGTCTTATTGGGCACAGATTTCCTAGTTATTACCTATCAGAAACAGAAATGTTGCTTGTAGGGGAGCCCTCTGCTTTTAGGGTTAGGTCTTTTGGAGGAACCCATGGGCCTTGCGGGGTGTCTTGGCCTACAATTGTCAAACTTCCGAGTCAAGCCATCTATGCCTACAATTTGACACAAGCAAACCAAATTCAGGCAGAAGGGAAACCATAGAGACTAAATCGATTGTATCCAGGGCCGAGTTTGATGGCTGCCGCTGTGCGCAGCTGACCACGCGGCTCAACTGCGCAACGCGATGTTGTTTTTCCGGGGAAGACTTTATTTTCTTCATCTTGTTATTAGGGTTGCGATGAAGACGAGTCCCCTTTCGCCTCTTCTCTTTCCATTTTCTGCGGCCAAACTAGTTCGCCTTGCCACATTTTTTGTCCGACCGTCCTTAGGATCATTAATCTGACGGTTGTATGTTAAAAAATAAAATAAAAACTGTCGTAAAATAGGGTTGCACTTCGGTGCTACATATCATTAAATGCTACGGGCATTGGATAGCTTAGATTCACACGACCATATAAAAGCAATAATTTAGGTCATCCAATACTCGTAGCATTCAATGCTATGTAGCATGTAGCGTGGAAGAATCCTGTCTTCTATTGAGCCAGCCCAATTGTTTGTGACTAATTAAGCATTTTGGGATGATCCTACGTACTATATATAACTTGCCAAATTGGAGTTGTCACAACTCGCACATCTTACTCAACGGAGTCCACAACCAAGCCACAAAATTCAAATTCACGTTACTCCTGCTCCTGGTGGCCTGCTCAAGTTGCTGTGAGACAACTGATTGAGCATCGCCGATGGAGAGATGCAAATCTGAGATGTAAAAACATATTTGCGTCTCATTTTGCTTCTCCGGGAGATGCGAATGTGGAACCATGAATGAAGAGACCAACAAAATGAGCTCGACGGAGACGGAGAGACATGGTATGTACGGTCCCCGTTGGGGGTGGATCAGGTACCATATTGTACCCGTACGATCATATAAAGCACATATAAATTAAGCTAATGAGAACAAAGTACGAAGAGATGAACCTCTTTCTAAATCAGCATTCATGTCTTCATGAGAAAAAACATAAATGAAAAAAAGAAAAATGGTTTCTTGATTCTGACACAAACCCTTGTTTACAGTGCAACCGATTCCGCCTCCTTTTTATCCTCCAAAAGCTTTAGCTCCTTACGCCAACCTTCCAGTTTCGTCAACTTGTCCAACTGTTCTGACTTAACATCTTGCTGATTAGCTTTCTGCTGTTGAGCTTCTGCAAGTCGAATCTGCAAAGGTGAACCATAACGTATGAGAAAACGCACTGCATAGTTTTTCAAATCATGTCAAAATTTTTGCGGATCCTGGACGTTTCTGCACCAAATGTAGACTTAAACCGGAGAGAAAACTTAATAATTCACTTTGCAGTACAAGGAGTAATCACCTTACATATAACTGACTATAGCATCTGCTTCTTTTCTTTCAAGTATTTAGTAAATTAATCCATTTTTGTTTTAGAAAAAAACCTTTTGATGTAATGCGTACCCCAAAGTTCTCAATCAAAACCGATTTGTATAAATTTTAACTGAATTTGACATCAAAAGGAGAAAATTATCTTGACAAATCCATGACACGCAAAAAGGATAGGGCTACATATTCCTAAACTGCCGAACAATTTCCATAGTCATACTGGAGCAAGGAAAACAGATGGTCTTATATCATTTAAAGGCAAGCTAAAAGGGTTAATAAACTATACCTTCTTTTTAAGAGCTCGAATTTTTTTATCTATATCTTGAGCTGGACCTGCTGGACTCGAATCCTCACTTGAGTCAGGGGGAGGGGTAACTAAAGAAGGACTAGAAGAAACACCTAGCTCGTTCATCTGAGATGCCAATGACTTGACAGCTTCTGATACATGACCCAAATTTTCAACTTCTTCTTCCTTTGTTTCCCCACTTTCCGAGGTTTTCTCCTTCTCAAGAGCAGCCTGCAGATCACACATTAACAGAAGAAATCAAGCAGCTTGAAAACCGCAATATCAAATTACAGATTAACACTGATTCCAGAAACCTGTAATTTTACACAACAGTAATTACATTAGTTCAGAAGATTAAAAGCATTTCTATATTGAAAACTGTCTCTTGCTAAACTTAAAAGCAAAGCTACAAGTTCAAAATCACAAATTCCCATATCTGTGCTTTGTATATCTTTTGCGTTCGTAGCAAACAAGAACAAAGACAATTCCTCTTACTTCGTAACTAAGCTATTCCAATACATGGACAAACCTCAACATAAACATAAAGATGAAAAAGGGATTATTGCCTATTATTTTCGCTCCTTTATAACAGCATTACATCATAATTTCTACCTTGGAAGGCAATATCGTTAGGGCAACACATTGAGTATGTGAGATGACAATGTATAACATATGACTTTGAGCAGCACAAAGTGGATCTAGAATGGGAGCAATAGATCACGGAGCCACCCCCATCAAATTTTCAAAACTTTTACACCTCAAATATTTAAAGTTTTTGAAAGTTCTGAATTCTTTAGAATGACGAAATAAAATAGTAAAAGACATCAATATTAACTTTGACCAGTTTTAGCATTCAATTGAACACTGATGTAAGCACTGAAACAGCTCCTATGAACATAGATTTGAATATGGTGATGGCAAAGCTGGTCTTGAAGTGGATCGGATGGTCTCTAGATCATATCATGGTTTATATGGGCTACTGTTGTTGTCTTAAACTGGATGTCCTCATGAGGCACTGAATCCGTTTATACCTATGTATTAGAATGCGGCTTCACAATCTTGTCTGTTCTGTGGACCTGTTTGTGCTGAGCTGTTAGCCTAAAGGCAGTAGTAAAAGTGGGAGAGAAACCTTGCAGTCAAATCCAATATGATTCACAAGAACAAACCAAAGGGATCTATCTTTCCCATTGTTAGCTCTAAAACCCAACTTCACTGCCACTTAAGAAATCGTAAAACCAGTTTTAACAAGATCAGCACCCTATTTTCCTCTAATTCTGTTTTATTCACACCCCAGTGACCCCACATATGCTACAAAGTCTACACTCCTCTCTCTGTCTCTCGTGGTCGGCACCACTGTAACCCTTACGTCCCTAAAGCTTGCATCAATAACCTAGGTAGTTAATGTTTATATGCTAATGCAACGGAGACCCTTCATCACCAATCATTAGTGAAACAAATAGTAGCACTCCTAAGAAATCACATCAATTGCAATTTCTATTATATTTCTTGTTTAATTAACCTTTTATAAGCACCAAAAGTATAACTTACAACCATAAAGCTTTTGAACAAAATAAAAACAGAAAAAAAAAAAAAAAAAAAAAGAAGCAAAAAAAAGAGAGGGAAAATCTATTAAAAACATAAGTAAAAGACTTACTTAATCGTTGGAGTAAAAATACCAGAAAATCCCCCAAGATGTTCAGCTGGTGAAATAGAAAAAGCTCCATTATTTCAAAGCTTCTATTAGGATATTAACATACATGGCCTTGTTTGTGCATCCTTCACAGAGCTATTAAGATAGCTTGGCAGAAGAAAGAAGTATGCAATTCAAAATTGTTTACCTATACATATTGGTTTTGTTTACCTATACATATTGGTTTCGCAAGAGTGAAGAAACAAAAATTTGCCCCACAAGTGCCGAATGAAAAGAAACTGCAGCATGTGTGAGTCTCCTTTACACAGCTATACAAACACCAACTAATAACCAGATCTAGCTTTAAGATCATTCTCAAATTATAGAAAATGACACACGGGGAGGTGCGTAGGTGCCCTGATTTGCATTCCAAGGGGAAGAGCACAGACACGCCTCGACAACGCCGTAGAAAAAGATTTAAACCCTCTAAGTAGTCTTCTTTTATAGAGTTGAACAGTGGACAACGTCATCTTACGAAGTGTCCCGTTTCTAATGACGTGCTACTTATAAGACTAACCTAAGAGAGCATCCATTCATCCATACAGCATTACACTTCAGATGCGTAGCCTTGGTTTTTGTCATAGCCAGACATTGAGTATATAACTAAGAAATGTCAAGAGAACAAAATGTTGTGCCATTGCTTTCATTTGACACCTATTTAGGGGAGAAAGAATAATCAAATATTAAAAGGGTTTTAGTCAGCTAGGGATGCATCAAAGGGAGAGTCTTATATTTTTTCCTTATTACCATCTTGTGTTGATGTTTTCAGCTCACGCTGGTGCAAATATCATTTGTTATCTTGATGAAACATGTGGTCCACAATCAGATAAAGCCGTTTTGCTTGTGATTCTAGCTCCCAAGTGACTCAAATTTCTGGCCCTTGGGCAAACATGATGGCTAAACTACACTATCAAATCGCCCCTCATGAGTAGGTTCCCGAACTTTGCACTTGAAAACCAAAGCGCATAGGAATTTAGCTAAAATCTACTCTACAAATTCCATATGGCAATAAACAATGATCAACAAAGGAAAAAAGAAATGAAGACAAACCTGTATCCGCTTCTCCTTTTTTCTTTCGTTCCTCTTTACAGACTTAGTCTTGGGTTTCGTTGTATCAACGGAAGTATCATCATAACCCGGAGGTCCAGCCGCTGAGGCCATCTCCTTTTTCCACTGCATTACAAATGTAAAAATCCCAGTCTGAGCTTCCATTCACTAAATTCAAACTAACTTGTAACCTTCCCAATTTCCACAAACAATCAAACCGAGAAGAAAAAAACACGGGTTTATCAAAAGATTCAAACTTTTTCACTTTTCTTTTGATTTCTAATCACCAAACATTCCAACTGACAGTTTTGTGGCGAAAGGCAAAAGGGTACAAAGAGAGAAAATGATAACATACCAAAGCACCTTTGGATTGGTAAATGGCGACTTCCTCTTGGGGGACATATCCAGCCCGAATGCGGATTGGTTTACGGAGCGTACCGTCGGGTCGTCGGGTTGGCCCCAGAAGCCTCTCCCCTTCTTTTAGGGTTTTGCCAAGCTCCGCCAATTGCTTAAGCGGCGGATCTCCTCCTTCTCCTCCGCTTCCATTGTTACTGCTCGCCATGGCTGATTGATCACCAAATCAACTTTGTACTCCTAGAGAGAGAGAGAGAGAGAAATAGCTGGTACTTTCGCTTAGTTGGCTACTTCGCTGGTTTCTTTAGTTCCAACATCCAACGAAGCAAAAGTAGAGATTTCCACCAGGGCGAATCAATAGGAACATCCGGCCCCTTTCCCGTTGGGTAAAAGCATTTTCCATTTAATCCTTAGGGTTTGGGCGTGTAATTGACAGGGTGGTGATTAAAAATAGAAAAATGACGGTTAAAGGTGAGATTTTTTTTATGAATTTTTTGCCACTCCTATTTTTAAGATAATATTTTATAATATCAGTATAAAAATTGACGTTAAACTATTGGTTTGTAGAGAGGACATGAAGAATCTTATTTTTCAAAGAGTCCACTTGACAATTCTCTTAAAAATATTTTCACAAAAAGAGTGTAGTTTTACTCAACATCTCCAAAGAGAGCGTCAAATTCAAAACATCAAATTTCATTTTGATAGCTAACTTGGTAACAGAGTCGGCCCTAAGATTTCAGAGACCATGTGCCAAAGTGAATTGGAGGCTCCAAAAAGTACTAAGAATTTAATGATGGGTTTTGAACCATTCCCCTAGGATGATGTAAAGAAGCAATAATTCCACTTGCGTTATGACTCAAGTTTGTAATATTCTACACTTACTACTATTATATGCATGCAAAATTGAAAAATTAGGGGCCCTTCCGAGATGAGGGCCCTGTGCGATAGCACCACTTGCACCCCCTCAGCGCGGGCCTTGCTTGGTAATTTGACATATTTTCAATATTTTCCTTTCATCCAATATGCCAAAATTTATTGCTCCCATTTATGTTTTATTAAACAAAAATAATAAAAGATTAGAGGTGAAATTTTTTGTCAAATTACCATACCAACCGAATTACCAACAACATCATTACAAAGTTGTGCCAAAATTTTTGTACCATTAGTAATGGTACGGTATTTGTACCATACCATACATTTTTGGTACGGTAATGGTATTCAAAACCATTACCAGTGGTATATAGTACCGTACCACTACTATTAATATTATATCATTTATTTATTCATTTATATATAATTAGGTATTATTAACATTATATATGCACTTTATATTTTTTTTCCTAGTCATTTATTCAATCATCTCACCCTTTAACCTCTACTTTCCTAATAAAAAAAAACCTAAGCCTTCTTGCACTGCGACTTTTCGTCTTTTCACTCATCTAGCCACCGACTTCATCTATGACATCCCACATCGCCCAGGGGAGTGATCCTTAAATGTATATTCCCATCCCTACCTAGCACAAGGCCTTTTGGGAGCTCACTGGTTTCGGGTTCCGTAGGAACTCCAAAGTTAAGTGAGAAAGGGGGCTAGAGCAATCCCATGATGGATGACCCACTAGGAAGTTGCTCGTGAGTTCCCAAAAACAAAACCGTGAGGGAATGGTAAGCCCAAAGCGGACAATATCGTGCTACGGTGGTGGAGCGGGCCCAAGAAGTGATCCGCCCCGGGCGGGGATGTGACATCCACATCGCCCAGGGGAGTGATCCTTAAATGTATATTCTCATCCCTACCTAGCACAAGGCCTTTTGGGAGCTCACTGGCTTCGGGTTCCGTAGGAACTCCGAAGTTAAGTGAGAAAGAGGGCTAGAGCAATCCCATGATAGGTGACTCACTAGGAAGTTGCTCGTGAGTTTCCAAAAACAAAACTGTGAGGGAATGGTAAGCCCAAAGCGGACAATATTGTGCTACGGTGGTGGAGCGGGCCTGGGAAGTGATCCGCCCCGGGCCGGGATGTGACAATTTGGTATCAGAGCCTAACCCTGGTCGTGGTGTGCCGACGAGGACGTTGGGCCCCTAAGGGGGGTGGATTGTGACATCCCACATCGCCCAAGGGAGTGATCCTTAAATGTATATTCTCATCCCTACCTAGCACAAGGCCTTTTGGGAGCTTACTGGCTTCGGGTTCCGTAGGAACTTCGAAGTTAAGTGAGAAAGGGGGCTAGAGCAATCCCATGATGGGTGACCCACTAGGAAGTTGCTCGTGAGTTCCCAAAAGGCCTTGTGCTAGTAGGTATGAGAATATACATTTAAGGATCACTCCCCTGGGCGATGTGAGATGTCACATCATCTTTGTTGCTTCAGTTCCGGCAACTCTCTCTCCGGAGTCCATATCATATTCTCCTTCATCAAATTGGGATGTCTTTTCCCTGACTTTGTTTATCAAGTTAATTTTTGTACAATTTTAAAGAATGTAGAGATGGAATTTATGAATCTTTGGACTACTTTTTTTTAGGGATATTGGGTTCTTTCAGTAATTCTTCCATCTATTTATTTCTTAAATGAATCTCTATAAAATTCTCATAATTAAACAAAAAAGTTTTAGGTACCCAAAAGGAGTGGCCCAAACACGTTTAGGCCTTGAATTGGGTTAGAAAAAAAAATTCAAACTTTGGCCCAAAACAAAGGAGTAATTATCATTACCATACCATGCTAACCGAACTATTTGGCATGCCAAAATTTGAAATACGAAAAGTTTGGCACGGTAATGGTAATAGATGTTGTTATACCAAAAGTTTGGTATGGTAATTGGTACATGGGTTTTAGTACGATAATCATACCAATACCATCCCTATAAAAGATGAGTTGTTGTTGGTTTAAAAATAATAAAATAATAGTTAAATATGATATCATTTAAAGTAAAGCAAGTGGAATGACTTTGGAAATAACAAAAACCAAATTTGAAGGCAATAGTACATCATTTATTTCTATTATATATACTAGCATATAGGCACACACAAAGGGTGTGAGAAATTTTTTTATTTTTGTTTTTGAAATATAATGAGAGAGGAAGAAAATGATAGAGAATGTGGGAGTGATTTTTTTTTTAATTAAAAATATATTACGATTACATGTATGTGGGGTTTTGAAAAAAAAAAAACAGCAAAATTTAGTTGTGTGAAATTACATTTCTACCTTATATTTCTTATTCATGTTCTGTTTTAATTAGAGGGTTAAATTGGTAATTTCATAGATTTTGGTTGACAATGAGTGTTTTATTAATTAATAGAGATTATATAGTAACATTTTTACATCTCCCCTGGAGCTGGTCTAAAACGCCACCAATTTTTTTTTTTTTTGTTGAGCAAATGATATTATTTACATTAAGGGGGCGTTTGTTTGCCCTCACTAAGTTGGACTGGACTGGACTGGACTAGCTATTAGTCCAATACTGTGTTTGTTTCATGCTGGGACTAACATTAATGAGACTAAAGGGGATTAGTATGGACAAAACCCTTCACTAAGAGGTCTTAGCGAGACCCCCCAATAACCATGGGACTAGCTAAGACTATCCTCTCTTTCTCATCCTCGTCATGCTCAACGACCACTCTCGACAGACTCCTCGTCATCTCTGGTCACCTAGATCAATCATTAACTTTCCGACTCTCTTTCAGATCCATTTCACAACCAACTTTCATACAAAATATACCAAATTGAAGCTGGGAGTGACAAGATTACGATTTGACCTGAATTGAGGCCAAAATGTGGTCGATTGTGGCTGGAAAATGGCTTGGAAGTCTCGGCCTGTTTGGGCTTCTTCAAATCCATGACAGATTCGAGCATTCAAAGCTAAGATCTCGGTCCAGGGATGGTGATGAATTTTTTGGCGGTGCTAACTTCATTCAATTTAACGAGGAAATGGTAGGAAAAAATGAAGAAAAAGATAAGATCATAATAAAATATTAATAATTTATATATTAAATAATATAATATTATAATTTGTTATTATCCAGCTTCTTAGTCCAATACTGTACCAAACGCTTCACTAAGTTAGTCCAGTTTAGTCTAGTCTAAGCCAGTCCAGCTTAGTCCTTGAAGCTAATCCAGTCCGAGATAGTCCGGCGCAACAAACGAGAGAATAGGATGAGCTTAGCCTCATAATAGATTAGCAATAATATGGTTCAAATTTATCTTTAATAAGAATCGAATATAAGATATCTCACTTATAATTTGAGTTAAGAGGAATCACTAGTTTAAGTGGCAGTTACTGTTAAACTTTTAAATATTAATTATCATTAAATTAGATCAAATTAGTTTAAGAATCAAAGGGTGCGTTTACCAATTGGAGCCAAACGGAGTCCCGCAAATTCCCCGCCCATCAGATCGGAGATAAATGGAGGTGATGATGGCGCTTCAGGTGATTAGCAGCTGGTAGTGCTACTGGTGATTAGCAGCTGATTGGGTCCCAATTCGGAGGGATTGGGCTGCGTACAGTTTAGGAGGAAGAGCAGGTGATACAGCGGGTCTCATCCTCGTCGTTGTTGTCGTTTGGGTGGCGGCCCTGGCGGATCAGGTGGTGGTGTGGCTGGGGTCTATGGCCATGGTGATCTCTCCGGGCAGTGGGCGTGGGTGTTCTTTGACTGTCAGTTGATTGAATTGATTGGCGTTCCTTGTTCTCTATTGGGTTGCAGGCCAAGTGTTTGCTTTTTGTCCCAAAAGAAAGAAAGAAAGAAATAGAGAAAATGGACAAGACCTCCAAAAAGAAGGGTAATTTTAGAAAGGGCAAGGATGAAAAGCTGATTGTTGAATCTGATGGTTGGTGGTGGTTGATCCACAGGGGAATCACAGCTTCCTTCTTGTCCATTGCATTGTTCTCCTTGTTGGTTCGAGCCGCGGTCTCGCTGCATCCTTACTCTGGTGCTGGAAATCCTCCCAAGTTTGGGGACTTTGAAGCACAGAGGCATTGGATGGAGATCACTATCAATCTGCCAATCAACCAATGGTATCGAAACAGTACTGTCAATGATCTCGGTTACTGGGGTCTTGACTACCCTCCTCTCACTGCCTATCAGAGTTATGTTCATGGCCTTTTCCTCAGACATTTCAGTCCTGAGTCAGTTGCGCTTTTCGCTTCCCGTGGCCATGAGTCCTATTTGGGAAAACTACTCATGAGGTGGACGGTGTTGTCTTCTGATGCCTTGGTGTTCTTTCCTGCTGTTTTATACTTTGTTCTTGTTTACTATGCTGGTCAAAATCCAAGTCGACGAAGGAGTGACATAGCGTGGCATATCGCGATTATTTTACTTAATCCTTGTCTCATCCTAATTGATCATGGTCACTTCCAGGTTACATATGATTTTTCTATTGCATTCTGCACATTTTTGTTGGCATCCATGCAATATTTGTAGTTCTAACTCGGAACTGTTTATATTTACGATCTTTTTCTTTTTGGTTTTTGTTCAGTACAATTGCATCAGCTTGGGTCTGACTGTGGGAGCTATTGCCTCTGTTCTTTCGGATAAAGATCTTGTAGCCTGTGTCCTATACAGTCTTGCTCTCAACCACAAACAGGTATCTTGTGATTTGGTTTTAAACGTGCCTCATGGTTGTTTAAGTTTCATTCTTTATTCTTGGTGACATTTATATTTCCTCCCTTAACTGTGGCATGAAAACTAAATTGTTGTATTGAAATTGTCAAGAGACATTTCTAATTTTGCCTCGAAAGTTAGCGTATAATATTGGCAAATGGATTTCTGAAAATGAACACATAAGTGGCTGGCTCTTGCATATTAATGTGAGAACTAATGCAACGTCTTTTTTCACTAATCAAAATACGGGTGGTAGGTGACTTGATCTAATGAAAGAGAGGCTATGGTGGTTACCATGAATCACATGATGACGTGATCTACCTGGACCACTGGTAGTTACTTTTTTGTCATAATCATCTTGTTCTTATTAGATGATTTGGAACTTTGCTGCAGTTGTCACAAATCACAACGTTGATTTCTCATTCTTTGTTTTAAATGGAAACCTAAGGCCTGAGGAGGGTGGATGGTGAGAGCCCAATTCTCATCATAGAGGCACGCTGTCCGTAGAGCTCCCCTAGGACCCGCCACCACAACCTTGTATACCATAAAAATATTGAAATGATTTCATGATTCAAGTTCAGAATATTTGGAATAACAAATGAATTGTCCATTTTGGAAACTCACTCAGTCTCATTACAATAAATATGAGTGGAACCCACTTATTTACCAAAGATTCTACAGGAGAGAATAATACCCATTTGCTGAACGTAATATGTTTTTCTGCAGATGAGTGCGTATTTTGCTCCTGCATTTTTCAGTCATCTCCTGGGTAAATGCCTAAGGCGCCGGTATCCTGTTCTAGAAGTGTTAAAACTTGGCCTTGTGGTCCTGGGAACATTTGTTGTTGTATGGTGGCCATATGTTCATTCAACGGAAGCCTTTTTTGGGGTAAGCACTAGTTAATTTTGGCAGTTTGTGAATTTTCAGCCTCAGTTTGTTTTTTTTAATAAAAATCTATAACTTAAACTCAATCTTCTCTGTGGTTCTACTTCCGAGGTCTAGTAAACCATGACAAAGTTATGCTGTGCGCTTTAGCTCATGCCCAAACTACAAATGTATACACTGGTTCAGATTTTGCTTCAGAATGATTTTAGCCAACTAAAAGAATGCAGTTATGTGGATCATATGTCTCAAGCATTGAAACTCGTGACTCACTTGTATATGGTGCTGGATTTTACACAGTTATGTGGATCATAAGTCGCAGGCATTGAAACACTTTACTCATTTTTAATTTGCCCCAATGTAGATGTCAAATTATTGATGGCACTGTCGTGTGGGTTTAATTTAAAACTAACAACAAGGTCAACTTAGAGAATCATTGAAGATGTTAGACATAATAAATATTAGTTAATAGTTAATGACACTTGATTTATGTGTTTATTTCTTATTCTTATGAAGAAAGAAAATTTAATAGGATACGGGTATTTAGAAAGTAAGGAAGATATATATATATATATATGTTGTAAAAAGAATCAAGATATGCTTGGTTTCTCTTGTTTACAACACACAACAGGTGTTCGTTTTCTTATTAGTTTTGGTCAATTGTGCAGGTTCTCTCTCGTCTTGCTCCTTTTGAGAGAGGGATATTTGAGGATTATGTGGCTAACTTTTGGTGCACCACTTCGGTTCTTGTAAAATGGAAGAGATTATTTCCAACACAGTCCCTGAAGCTCATCAGCTTGGGTGCAACTGTTTCTACTTTCCTGCCTTCAATGATTCAGCAGATATGGGCTCCGAGCAAGCCGGGTTTCCTTTATGGGTTGCTGAATAGTGCTTTCTCGTTTTATCTCTTCTCATTCCAAGGTTAGTGAAGATTTCCCATCAGTCTCAACTTCTGTTCGTGATTTCATGATACTATGGTGCATAATGCTTCTTGTTCTTAACTTGCAGTGCACGAGAAGTCTATTTTACTACCTCTCCTGCCAGCAAGTCTTTTGGCAATGGAAGAACCATTTCTTTTTACCTGGATGACACTTTACGCCTTGTTCTCAATGTTCCCTCTTCTACACCGTGACAAACTGCTTCTTCCCTATCTTGCACTATCTGCTCTCTTTATCCTTTTAAACCATGCGCCGAATGGAAGACAGACCACAAGGGACACAAGCGCCTTGAGATCATTTGTGATCGCAGTCTCTGTCTTGTGCTCAGTCGTTCTTCATGTTGTTTATTTAAGCATGCATCCCCCCGCCCGGTATCCTTTCCTTTTTGAAGCTTTGATAATGCTCGTTTGCTTCTCCCAGTTCGTCTTTCTTACCGTTTACACCAATGCAAAACAATGGATGTTGCTTAAACACTCCAACTTGGTGGATAAAGAAAAGAAGCTCCTTTGAAACCTCTGTATTCAGGCAGCAAGTTTTGTGAAAGCACTTGATTCGTAGCATCAGAGGCCCCCGAGATTGAATGCGACTGTTTGTACTTTTCGTAACCCGCATTCTCTAAAGCTTACGACGAGCAAAATTCAACTTAATTTGACTGTTGAATTTTTACAGATTGGTTCATTTGGATTCCGGCCGGAACAAACAGCTTCGATCCTTCGTCTTGAAGAATGCTATGACATGAAATTTGTATTCCGGCCAAATTCAACTTGCATTTTTGTTTGTAGACGTGTGATATTTACAAATTGGTTCATTTGGATTCCGGCCGAAACAAACAGCTTCAAATATGCAATTACTGGTCTAATGTCCATGCCTTGTCCAATTAAAAATTGAGTTTTCAAATTTAAAACACCCCATGTAAGTTTATCCACCGGACTAAAAATTCGTGAGCACTGGTTCCTTAACTTGTAATACCGAGCCAATGGTCCTTTCGACCAAGTTGGTTAGAACTTCCATCTGTTTTTGCTGTTTAAACACTTATTTTGGATAGATTTTCTAACAGGGTTATCAAAAAAGGCTGTTGCTCCATATTATAACAAATTGACGACCAATAGTGAGATTTTAGTTAAGGGACCAAAGCTCCAGATGGGACAAAGTCCGGAGACAATTTCTCTAATTTTCTTTAATTTTAAATTGTGTGAAAAGACAAAAGAGGACATTAGTTGAAACACCACCTCCTTCGCCCTCCCCATCCTCCCGTAAACTGCCTCAGGCCTCGGCTTTGGCCTGTCGTCCTCCCCAACTCCACCTTGCCGCCAATGCCCTCGCCAAGCAATACTCGGCCTCCTCGCAAACACCATTGTCTCGTTCGTCGCCTCATTCACCGTCAGGTTCGACATGAATCAAAACCCAGAATTCAACGACCCAGGTAGAAATCATATCAGAAGCAACCTCAACAATATGGAAATACATCCTTTAGAGCACAAATACAAAACATGATACATGTCACAACCAATCAAGATTACAATTGCTGAACGTGCTTTTCACAACACACAACTTTTTCTTTCTTTTCACGATTCCATCTACTCTTGTAAACCTTTGTTGACAACCTAAGGTTTTACATACACAACCAAATGAAATTAGCTTTCAGAACAAGGGAAAGAAACCTGGATCCTTTTGACTCGACCGAGTTGAAAGTAGCAAAAATTTACACCACCTGTTTGCATGCCAAGTTGAAGGGGCCAACGGGACATTACTTAAGTTAGTTGAGGGGCAAGTCGGCCTCCATGAGCTTGAACGAAGCGAAAGGTTAAAAATGGGGTTCCTGTTGAATGATCATTCCCTTTTGTCTTCTTCTGTATCATCTTCATCAAAATCTTTGGCACTTTCAATCCTCTCTTGCTTGGTTAAGCTGATATCACCCTCTGGCTTGCCCCTCGTAAGAGATTGAGATTCTTCATCGTCAGATTCTTCTCCCACTTCATCTGAGTAAGCATACCTATGGACATTTGGCAGTACAAGTCAGCTCAGTCAGGAAAAAGGGAATCCTAAGAATTATAACGAGCGATAATGTTAGTTACAGATGAGTCCCTTAAGTCAAAAATGAGGGAAACATTCCATCAATGGCATTAAAAATTAAAGAATAATGTGGGATATTGCTCCATAAAACCCAAGCAATGTGGCATCCTTTACTCTTTTACATCATCACCATACTTCCTCTCCACCACATTCTCGAGAGACTAGATCTCTCAACTGCACACCTCCAAAGACATTTCCCATCTAGAGCCCTACCAAAAGTACTGATCATTCAGAATATGGTGATTCTGATTGAATATGAAAGTACGGAATATTGAGCCCACTTTAGTCAACCACCATCGGAGACTTTTCCATTTTGAAAATTTCAATAACCAAGAAAAGAATAAAACATCATTATATCAACTACATAAGATTAGAAAGATATAACGCACCGTTGAGAACTCTGGGATGGAGCCCAAAGATAGCAGATAACACACAGCAATGCAAATGCAAGAATATCCCAGAAAGCAGTGATGACCCAAGCACTTTGCCACTTCTCATTGAATGGATCTGTTGCTTTAAAGTACACCTGCAAGTACAAGCTTATCAAATGTATAGTAGATCTTCAAACCCAAGAAAAATATAAAAAATTGAAAGGACACAAACATACAAAGAACCGAAGTTCAAAACAAAACAAAAAAAGGCGATAAATTCTAATAAAGTAGCTTTAGTTGTATTTATTCTATTCTCTTGTAACTGAACCCTTAAATATACTGATTCTTGGTGCAACAATCCCAACACGACTTAATAGTGCACAATCAACCTAATTTTCGATCACTTTAAGGTAATTAACTATAAAGAAACACAACTTAGTAGAGCAAGCCGTATGCATAATATCAGTTCAGATACTCAGTATCTAGAAGTTACACAAAAAAAGAGTATCATTTACTCTGTCTGCCAGCAAAATATACTAGTCTGCTAATCATAATGCCTTCCCTTACATTAGGCAGACAAAAGGCGATGATACTTTTTCTACTGCAAGATTTCTAGTGTAACTCAGTAACCTCATAATCTCTTTATGCTATTTGTTCAATAAACTGTGGTTCTGTTTATCACAAGTACAGTGCAGGATACATTTGTTGTTACTGCACATAAGCAGCAATGTAAAGCACCACCAGTCCAAAATAATACAGAACAACATATGAAAACTCTTCGGGCCAGGGATTCAAAACCAATAGTAAAATCAAGCCTGAGTATGGCTGTACCACAATATAGCAAATTCTACACCATTAAAGGCTGAAATTCTACAACTGCACAGTAGGATCGTCAAACTGAAAACGGCACAGGTAGGGTTGTGATCTTCCCAAAGGAATTATATCTTTTTAAGTTTTAACACCAATGGCTCTTACTCTATGACCAGGGGGGATCTCAGTGCATATTCAGAAGCCACAAAGGAATAGTGGTGAGTACATAATCATATGCAATCCTATTTAATTTCATAAGGTGAATTGCTAGGATTCCAATTTGGCTTCAATTGAGACCTTGATAAGAGTATATTATTAGACAAAACACACTCAGAATCCTCAGTGTTTGCTGTGCAGGTTGAAGATATGAAACATTTGTATACTGGCCAATAAAACCATACCTCATACACTATCCATGCAACTGAGGCAATGACTGCGACTGCTAATGCATTTGAGAACTTCCTATACATATCCAGTTTGACAGAGCTTCTCTTTGCCTGAGAAGAACATATAGTTTAACATTTAAAATGCCATGTTATGGAGATAATAAAATAATGAGATCACGAAACAACACTGCCGTTGTAACTTAAATAGACGAATTTAAATTATTATACCTGTAGCTGCTCTAGTGTTTTAGAGAGAGAGGTAAAAATCCATAATATCAAAAATGCGTCCAAGAAAGCATCAGGAAGAACTAGAAATAATCTTGCTCTTCCAGATACATCATTGATTGTCCCCACATACTCTGTAATATTAAGCAACTCTGTGGCCAGAAAAAATGTTATTCCAAGGAGAATCACCTTTGAGGTAAGACCCCCAAGAGTGGGCCGCACCACACCATAACCCATGGAAACAATGAGGATAAGAAGACGGGAAACTGTTTTTCTCACAGCTCCAACCGTCACAACCAATGTTGTAACAACAATTGGCCTCATCCCTGTACTATTAAAATTATCATAATCACAATACCAAAGAATCATCTCAAACAACCCAAGAGCAATAACAGCTGTGATGCAGTGCTGAAGTTGCAGAATATCCTTCCAGAACCTCACATACTGAGTGAACCAAATTATTCCAAGCAACACATAAGCAAGTGACATAAACACATAAAACTTCATTAGTGGAGCCATTCGACCTGGTAGGTAACCATCAGGATTTTTCCACAAAGTCTTCCCGCTCATAGTTACTCCCTTCAGTTTTGGATCACATGCTACAAAAAACAAGTTATACATCCCAGTTTTTGGGATTAAAATCTCTTGATAATCCATGTTTGTGTGCAGGAAGTTCCCACTGAACCGTACATTTAAAACAATAGGCCATTTATTATCTGTTGCAGAAGGTCTCCTAATGACTTCACCTTGCTTACAACCTTCCATCTTAGCGAGATCAGGAGAGCAACATATATCTCTTTGTCCACCATAAGCAGAACCACCAATATTATTACGATCAGCTGCCTCAAATATTATAACTTGTATCAACCCAGTACTATGCTCCATGTCTGAAAGCTTCTTAGCAGCATCCTTGCTCCTCCAAAAGGTGATTTTGTCGAATCTGTTCCATTCGGAAATGTCAGAAACAAATGTGATAAAATATTTATTTAGTGAGGAGAGGCAGGAATGAAGGAGCAACGTGCACATACAACATGACTATGTTGCTATCAAGTATCAAGTAAATCGTACCATGCAAATGTAACGGACTATGAGTTCAGTCACACTGTCTGCACAATATAATGAAGCGGTGTCCCTAAGACTTAATCAGATACAAGAATGATTATGAACTTGGTGAATGGAGATGTGAGGACCCTCTGAGACTTAGAAATGATACTTACAATAAATAAAACTAGAAGATCTACTTGACCTTCTTCAAGAAACTTTTGTGAATTTAGTTTGCACACTGTACTATTCACGAAACAATTTCGAGAAATCCTTTTTTTCTCCTTCCTGTTCATGGATTCTACAGGATCATAGTTCCACCGTATTTTGAATCATCATCTATTAATTTGCATCGAAAATGTAGTTGGACGCTTCGAACTAAAACTCAATTTTATACTAAACCCTTCATCATTGAGATATTACTATGTTTGTGCTTAATTTCCCCACTTCTGGTCCATCCCACATTCAGATAAATTCAATAAATCTTTTACCTTTTCAACATACAACACATTTTCTTGGCTACCCAATTAAAAAAAGAAATCCCCAAATCGATCACCCACTTCAAAATTCAAAAATCTAAAATCTTGCAAAAACCCAAATGTTCAATATTCAAAAAACCCAAAAATTGAATGAAGCAATTGTACACAGATGGCAGATCTCGCAATAAGCTGAAAGAGATGCAAACGCGAAAGCATTACCGAATGTAAGATGGGCGGAGAGAGTGGCGGCGATGCCTTCGCTGCCGCCGGGTAGAAGGTAAGCATTGCCGACTTCTCTGAAGGTTTGGTTGTCGTAGATGTGGATCGAGGCGTTTGTGGGATTTGGAAGGAATGACAGTAGGAGAAGCAGAGAGAGCTTCATGAAAATGCCATGGAGAATGCCGTTGCTTCTTCTTCTTCTTCTTCTCGCCGCTCGAATCTGGGTTGTGAAATCCATACTCTTTGGAGATTGGACTTG